CCTCTGTTATCTGCAACACACTGAGTACTGTCACAATGTTTATAAATTGGTATCCAGCTATTTAAATATATTTCAGCTTTTGCTTTGGGTTCTCTCTCCCATTATGTAATTTTGAAAAATTACAGCTTTTGGTAGTGGGTCACTTGAAAGTAAATTAAATCCATGTTAATTTCAAAATAGAAATAGCCTGTTGTCCAAAATCAGAGTAGGGCTAATTTGTTTGTTGTTCTGATGGTCATATATTCTGTACTGTATGTAATGAACCAGTTTCAGTAAATGTAAGAACACACTGTGCAATCTATATTTAAGCAATAAAATAAACCAAAATTTAAAATCAGTCTTTTCTAAGGTGTCAGTTAATTTTTGTTGCTCACAATTAAAATGTCAATGATGCTGGGTTTTTGCATTTAAAATAGCCCTCATGTTACACACGTCTGTTTTCCCAAATGTTATAGCATTGCAACATTATTAAACTACTACTTGTATTTATGATTAAACCATTGCTATTGCTAAGACCACCAAAATTTGAGAATGCAACAATGCAAAAGTCATTTCCTAATAGCAAATAAGCTTCAAGAAGATAAATAAGCTGTACTTTTCAGGTCTGCCTCCCCAGTTAAAAAATGTATTGAGTTTGTAGTATTAATTTCAAGGAATAAAGTTGTCAGTACATGCAAAGATCCATATACAGCTCACCCACAGCTAGCATATTTCAAACAGTGTTGCTATCTAATGAGGCTGTTTGTTACTCTCTTTTTTTTTTTGGTAGCATTCATTTATTTAAATTATCTTAATGGTGCACCCTGCGAGAAGTGGGAAGAACAATTATTTTTTTCTAATTTGAGGAAGTCGAGACCTTCTCTACCTTATGTGAGGTATGTCCTAATACAGAGAGGATTTATCACTGTCTTTTTTTCCCTTGGTCCTCTATTGTAATTTTTGCAGACATTAATTAAAACTTTGTGTATGTTTAGGAAACTTTAGAGGATAGGCATCTTCTTTCTATAATCTATGACTTATCATGCATCTCAGAACCTGCTATTAAGATATGTGGTCATCAGCCTTTTCTGTTGCTCACATTGATCTGAACAGGGTTTGATGATGGACACCTCAAAACAATCCAGGGATAAAATAGTAGCCACACTTGGGAATTTATTTTAAATCATATCTAAAGTGAAGGTGCAGAGGTAAGAGACTCTGTTACCCTACCACATGAGACCAGACAAGGAGGGACAATAGTAGCAGCCACTGCAGTTGTAAGACAAAGCAAAGGTGACCTGTGAAGACGATTCTGGGGGAGTTTCTGTCTGGAAGTTTTTGCTTCTTCAGTTTGAAACACTTAACTCATTCATTGCTTCCAGTTCTGATGATACTGTGATCAAGACAATGAGTACACCTGAATAGTTTTGGTTTTCAGAGTCCATGTCTTCCTAAATAATATCAAGTTGTTTATGAAATCATGTTCCCAAATCTTTTAATATTTTATCAGCTTACAGACAAAGTGCTTTAAAGGTTAAAATAAATAAATCATTGTCTAATGAAATAGGAAATCTTTTTAGATTAGTGATTAATAAATCAGTTGCTCACTTTGGGCAAGCAACAAGGATTTGGCCAACTACACCCCAAATCTTTGAAAAATATAGTGTAAAGCTACTGTGAGAATGAAAGAAAGCAAAAAGCTGTGCTAAATGCCTTGCTCTGCTTATTTTTTTTTAATTATTTTATCACTGACCTCTGAGAATAAATAATCTAGCTATGATTAGCTATATTTATTCAAGACTTTATCAACAAAATTCATATGGTAGTAATTACTCTACACAACAGTTTTGTTGTTAGATTCATCCTGAAATAAGACCTACTGAAAAAAGCCCAAAGGAAGTGGTGACAGCATTGCCTGAATAACAGCTTATTTACATTGTAATTTCTCTGTTACTTGGACGATTCAAATGATCCATCTCTATCTCTGCCATCAGAAAATTCAGCATATCTGAGTGAACACATGCATGTGTTATTTGTATAACCATGAATGTAATACTAGTTTCTAATAATTAGTAGAAAGGGGTGATTTTTTAATTTCAAGTATATTTTAAATTCAGGCTTCAAAGCAGCAGCACTGCTATCAATCAGAGAAATGAACTTGTGTTATTAAGCAGCAGTGGAGTTAATTCACTTGTTTAAAGGCCAATTTTTCCCATTTCAGATTATTAACTGACCTTATCATTTTTATTTATAAATGCTGTGAAATATAAAATAGTTTTTCATCACTGTGTGATAGAAGGCTGATAAATGTTTCAGCCCCAAAACAAGTGAACATATCGGTGTAATGCAGATCTCATCCTCAGCACTGGAGAAAAAAAAAAAAAAACCCCACACATTTTGCAGATTTGTAGCATTTTGCTTTAGCACTGAAATACCCTCTTTCTATACAGCATAATATGTGGGGGGAAAAGTAAAATCAAAGTTAATTAAAATCTTGTCTGCAGAGTTTCTCACATCATTTAGCTATCCTCTGCCTTCCCTTGAAGAAAGTCTTTATGTTCTGTTTTTGTTTTTTTTTTTTCCACTAAGGGTGTAGCCTTTGTAGGCAGTGGGATTCACATGGCTGAAATACCTTTTGGGTTTGTTTATGATTTGGATTTTTTTGATGGTTTTCTTTTTTTCTGTACTGCTCTAATCCTTTGCAATTTTAATGCAGGAAAAACACTGCAGGTGGAATACCACCAGCCAGAGGCTTATAGAATATTATCTGCTCATCCAAGAAAATTCACTGGCATTTTCACCTGCTGTTCTCACAATATTCAGTTCCCACAAGGAGATCAAATGATACGGTTTAGGTAACTGCTTCATTGCTCTGGAAGTAGACACGTTAGCATTTCTGTATCCAGCATTAGGACATAGACATTGATCTGTAAGGAATACTTTTGTAACAAAGTTCAACCCTGTAGAATGAGATTATAGAGAAGAAATCCAGACCTTTCAGAGCAGCTGAATCAGTAGAAAGTTTGTAGCAACACTTTCTGTTCTTAAGACATGTTAGTGAGCCATAGAATGGTTTGGGTTGGACAGGACCTTTAAAGGTCATCTAGTCCAATGCTCCTGCCATGTGCAGGGACACCTTACACTAGACCAGGTTGCTTAGAGCCCTGTCCAGCCTGATCTTGAAGGTTTCCAGGGATGGGACATCTACCACCTCTCTGGGAAACCTGTTCCAGTGTTTTATCACGCTCATCATAAGAAATTTCTTCCTTATATCTAGTCTGAAAGTACCCTTTTTTAGTTTAAAACCACTACCCCTTGTCCTATCACAACAGGCTATACTAAAACATCTGTCCCCATCTTTCTTATAAGCCCCCTTTAAGTACCGGAAGGCCACTATAAGGTCTCCCTGGATCCTTCTCCAGGCTGAACAACCCCAACTCTCTCAGCCTGTCCTCCAGCCCTCTGATCATTTCTGTGGCCCTCCTCTGGTCTCCCTTCAACAGGTCCATGCCTTTCCTCTGCTGATGGCCCCAGAGCTGGACACAGCACTGCAGGTAGGGTCTCATCAGAGTCGAGTAGAGGGGAAGAATCCCCTCGACCTGCTGGTCACGCTTCTTGTCACACAAGACACCCCCAGGTCCTTCACAGGGCTGCTCTCAATCCCTTCATCCCGCAGCCTGTATAAATACTGGGGGTTTCCCCCCACCAATGTTCAGAACCTTTTCAGGGCTGACCAAAAGTTAAAGCATGTTATTAAGGGCATTGTCCAAATGCCACTTAAACACTGACAGGCTTGGGGCATGGACAACCTCTCTAGGAAGCCTATTCCAGTGTTTGACCACCCTTTCAGTAAAGAATATCCAGTCTAAACCACAGCTTTGAACCAATACCAGGAAGAAGAGAAAGAGAACCAACAGGGAAATACAGTGAAATAGCTCAGAGCAATTAAGGATGTTCCTTTAAAAAGGTGACATGGCTGACAGCCCAGCTGAAGTGCCTCCACACCGATGCACACAGCATGGGCAACAATCTGGAGGAGCTGGAAGCCACCGTGCTGCTCGAAAGCGATGACCTAGTTACCATTACTGAAACTTGGCGGGACAAATCCTGTGACTGGAGTGCAGCTATTGGTGGCTACAGGCTGTTCAGAAGGGACAGGCAAGGAAGGAGGGGTGGAGGGGTTGCCCTCTACATCAAGAAATGGATAGAGTGTGGAGAGCTGCCTCTGAAGAATGGCCGTGAGCAGGTTGAAAGTCTATGGGTAGGAATCAGAGACTGAGGCAACAAAAGGAATCCTGTGGTTGGTGTGTACTAGAGGCCGCCCAATCAAGGGGAGCCTATTGATGAAACCTCCTTACTCCAGCTACAGGAGACATCGCGCTCGCAGGCTCTCGTCCTGCTGGGGACTTCAGCCACCCAGGTTGTCTCTCACCAGAGCTGGTGGCTTCTGGCAGGTCTCTGCATGACTCTGGCGTTTCCCTACCTCAGGAATCTTCCTGTGCGCTGAGATCCACTGCTCTGCTGCAGGCTGGGTTGGCTCCAGAGCAGCTCACCTCAGCCACTGACTGCTAGCTTCAGTTACATGGCATTTAAATCTTAAGTTCCAAGAGAGGGTTAAAAAGCAAGGGAAATTTTGAGTCTTTGTAGTAAAAATATTTTGTAAAATTATTATTTTGCTTTTTCATATTTTTCCAGTTTAAAAGTGTGCCTTTGTTAAACAAACTGAAGCATTAAGTGTGAGAATTCTTGGATACCTTTCTAGTTCCCAGACAAAGTGAGACAGGAATGACTTGATCCTCAAATCAATTATTAATGTGTTTCTGTATGTTCAGGATCACACAGACAAGCCTGATGCCTTGACATATCACTTGGAGTTGAACTTACAAAGAACAATATCCAAAGCAGAAACTCTGATACCAGTGTCTGCAGGCTCAGAATTGTACAACTCAGAATCCAAGTGTCTCAGGTAATGTGGTACCTAAGCTGGGTCACAGCTAGAAACCTCAACTGAGAAGTAAAACTACCTTGTTTGGATTTCAGGTTCTAGTTTCTGAGATGGCTGGGAAGTTATGCTGAGGGTTAGTGCAGAACTGAACCCAGGCTCTGAACTCAGAGGTGGTGGTGGTGGTGGGGTGGTTGGTCTCTGTTTCAGTGCTCAGCAGTGGGAAAACTGCTGGTGAGAGTGAAGTGCTCTTAGTGCTTCCTAGGGAGTGAAATATGGCACTAGGGGTCAGGGAGGCAGTGGAAGAGAATAAGACGAAGGAACACCACTATGACTCAGCTGACTAAAAGAGTGGAAATCACCAATCTAACTTTTAGAAGTTCTCATGAGTGATGCAAACACAGCATAAAGTCAGTTATGTCAGGTCAACAGATGAATGGTCAGTCAAGTTAAAAATTATATGACTGCTTATGATCAAGAAGTCAAACCTTTACCCTTACAACTAGATGTGCTTACAGAGGAAGTCCCTTATTAGTATGGTTATGATTTTGCAAATACCAGCTCAGCAAAAGTATGGAAGTATCAATAATCCCACTGTATAAAATGTTATATGACATTTTGGGTGTCACCTTCTGCGTTAAAGCTGTGTATTTGTGTGCTATACAGCTAAAATCTAATGATAAAGTCATATAGAGATTATATCTTTGTGTGCATTTTTCATAACAAAGTAATGAGCTTGCTAGTGATATTGTCCCTAGTTGGGGTTTATTGTGGTTTAGCTTGATTATTGTTAGTCACGTTCTAGTAATTTTATTTCTTAGGGTAATATTTTATGATCAAAGAATAGTCTAAATTTGCATTTTATCAAGTAAAAGCATATACATATCCTTTCATAGTGCTGTTGTCTGATAACTGATGAACCTTATTAGTGATGAATTTGGAAAAAAGATAAAAGCAAAAAAACTCGGGTTCAGTAAAAAGCAAAAAGCGCTATTCCAGCTTTACATTACATACTTCAGAATACAATAGTTTTAATTGATTCCAGGGAGCAGAACCTTTAAATGTATTCCCTTTATCATCCTGAAATATCTCTGAAGATAACCATGCATAGTACACAGCTTTGGGGCAAGGGATGTGTCTTTTATTGTCATGATCTGATTGACCAGCAGAAACTCTGCGAGTTGAAAATTGCAGTTAGATAAAAAGGGAGGAAGGAACTCGTTTTCATGTAATTCCCTTAGCTTTTCTTTTGGGTGTTTTGTGCTAAGCTCAGTAAAGGAATAATGTCTGCAAAAGGAGTTGGAATAGTTGCAGATTGGTTTAATTAAAAACCTGAAATACTTAGCCACCATCAGCAAAATCCAGCCTGAATCAACTACACAGTTAACAAAAATCAGTCTTTGATCAGAATAGTTTTTACTTGGAAATCGAATTAAATTCTACAGAATACTGTCAAATAATTATTTAAGGTAATATCTGACCTAAATAGATGGTCCATAGTGCCAACTTTACTATGGTAAGGAGTTATACAGTCTAACATTTAATACCTAGTCTATGATTATGTCATTTCTGTGCTGGAAAGCGTAAGGGAGCGTGTAGAGTGATAAGAAAAAGTAAAGTACACAATGGCCGACTCTGAAAGTCTCCGTGCCGTTCTCCAGTGCGTGGTGGTGGTGGTGGTTGGTTATCTGCCTTCATGTTGCACAGTCCTGGAGTTTCCAGTGGGATGGTGTGTCTCTCTCTTCGCTCTTCTTAATACGCTCCACAGTGGACCTTCTTCCTCACTGCTCTCCTCGGAGCTGGAAATCCCGGGGCCTGTTTCTGTGCCTGTTGAAGGCTTTTCGTAAGGGTCTCTTTGACATAAGATTTTTCCCTCTTGGCACTCTTGCCTGTGTGGAAACTTAAGGCTTTCATTGAAGAAAGCAGAAGCCATGCACTCGGCCGCTGTCTTATCGCAATCACATAGTAGTTTCTCACACATGCTCCAACCAATACCTTAAGAAGAAGTTTCAGGATTAATGTTTGAAAGCAGTTACAATTAGTCAATGTGTAATTTGCCATAGGTAGATGAGCTTTGGGAAATAAAATTTTCAAATATGCCTTGAATTTTGATCTCTAATTTCACCTTTCGTCATCTAAATATAAGCCTGACACCAAGGTGCTGGGCAGCTGATGGTCTGACTGGCTTTAGCTGGATGTGTGAATGTAAACACACCAACAGCTGAATTCTGTCTCAGTCATAAAATGCCTTAATGTAATTTTCTCAGTGTGACATGATCACATCATGCACTGTGCTATAATAACCATTATCTCAACTAGGAAAAAGCTCAGATTTACAGTAAAATTGCTAACATTTTGTAAGCCAAATTTTTCCGTCTCCATACTCAGCTCTAGCAGCTCACAGACATGGTGGCATTCAGTCTGTGATGCTTTGATACACTGTCATCAGGACATGAGAAATTTCTTGTAACACAAACTTACATTTTGGCTTATGATCAAAACATACAACTTCAGATCTTGAACTTCTTTCTGCCTGACATCCAAGTTTCTTAACTTGTTCCATACAACAGTGATGAGAGAAACAACACCTAAAATAAACAGTAGATATAAATGAGAAATATTTACTCTTCCTGCATCACAGAGTACTCACAATTATTTTATCTCTTTATTTTTAATGCCCATTAAACCTGAGAAATTTTAGGTTTCATATAATGAAAAAATCTTTTCCATAAAGAAGAAAAAGAACCCAAACTGTTCCTAGTCTCCTCCTATACCTGTCTGCACTTTCACTACCTCCTTCCTTATTCATTTGGTATCATAAGTTTAATGGTGCTGTAGTTTTTTAGGGGGGGTTTGTTTTAATTTAAGACATATAATTGCAGTTGTAACTGTGACCTAATCTGCTGTGAGAAGTGTCTTCAAGTGTTCAGATATTATTGGCTGAAATTCTGAAAACTATGATAGCCAGAGCCTTGACTAGCCTTCATCTAGCCTATTTTGTCATGGGCAGGCAGTCTTATATGTGTGCAAGTGTAGGAAAATTGTGTGTGCTGGATACTAAGTGCTACACTTAGACTTGATGTGGCCCCAACTGTTATGAGCTTCCACACAGGGAGAGATTTTTAGTTGTAAATGCAACACTCTTGGAGTAGATTACTTTACTTTGATCGAATTCTCTGCCTTACTCCAGAATTCCTCCTCTTTGTCAGCCACACGGTGACAGCACGCAGGCGGCTGCGGCAGGTCCCTGGGCTGCAGCTTGGGCAGTACTGCGCTCAGGCTCCACTCACTCTCAAGGACAATGCAGCATAGGCCTGTGTTAACACTTCTCTTCATAAATCACTTTCAAAATCACCTCTCAACCAAATTTCATGGCAACCCTTACCCTCATCTCTTTTGATATACTCTTCTTTCTGCTCTACTTATCTCCCATCGTTCATTCTTGAGTTAGTAAATCCTCTCCAAAACATGCAGTAATAGAATGTGTCTCAGTCACATTAGAGTATTTCATGTTTTAAGTACTTAAGTGTTTTTAAATAGTTTGGGGTTTTTTTTCAAAAGTGTCCTGACTACCAATACGTAGCTATACAAGGCCCAACAGAAGGTACACTGAGCTTTGTTGGTCCATAGGCACCCCAATAATACCCACAGTTAATGGCAGACTATAGAAGAGCCCAGACCTGTCCAGTGCATCAGCAGGATAACCTCTTCCTTCTTGGCCACAATAGCAACCGTAAGACTCAAATTCCTCTGGGCATCGCTCAGTTAAACAGAACAGCATTTCTCCTAGCTGAGGCAGCTCCCTCTTCACTCTTCCATCTCCTCTCTCTTGCAGAAAGGTTAATCGCTCGCATACTATAAAGCAAAAAATGTTATTTGGTACATCATGTTTTCACAGGCTGGGGGTTCTCCTGTGATGATAGAATTATTTTCAGAACTATCAGAAACTTCTGAAGACAAGATTTTACTATTTCTATATTATTGCTCAAGCCCATGAACTATGGCTCTTAGAATACTACTGAGCAAGACAGCAGAAGCTGGGAGGGAAATATTTAAAGGAGACAGAGATCCCTATGAAGATATAAATCAGTTGGATCGCAATGAGAGTAATTTTCAATCCTTGGCAATCCTTCATAGTTAATTTTTTTCTTCTGGAATATTCAAACCTAGCTGAGTACTCAGTAGTTTCTGTCTTGGTTATTCAAAACCCTAACCTCTTGTGCTTGGAGTGACAGCTGGGCAATGACTATGTTGTTCTGGATTTAAACATAGTACAATTTGGGCTTGATATCCCCAGCCCAAATGCAGGAGCAATCTGTCATAATGGTTACTGTGCTGATGAATTTTAAGCATCTCCATATCCCAACAGTAATGACTCTGTGGCTTACCCACTCAGCAGGAACTGATACTGTGTGAATTATGCCTAAGAGTTGAGAGATGACTGTGCTCCATATCAGTAAAAAAGATGTCAAGAGGGCTTCTTTTGGGACTTTTCCAGGGGAAGGACTTGAAGGGGCTGACAGTAGAATTGCAGGAGAGAGAGGAAAGGCTTCTGTTCCCTGTGCATCCTCCATGAGTAATTCTATCTTCCCTTCTGCAGCTCTAGACTGACTGTCTCTTCTTCTTCCAGGGGAAACCCTGGATTACTTCCCCCTAGTAGGAAATTCTGCCCATGTACCTGCTTGGGTCTTTGCTCACTCATGTTAATTCACTAAAAATAATTCTCCTGTTCTGTGCATTCTGATGTGCATTCTCTAAAAACTGATATTTCACGATCAAATATTTCAATTTGATGGAAGGCTGGATTGATTCTTCATGTCTGCTCTTTTCCAGTTCTGGGACTGCTTCTCCCCTCTGGGAAGTCTAACAAGATGGATGGGACAGTCTGGGTGTAGATTTACAGCAGTGAAAGATTTGAAATGTCTTGGAACATTTGTGAACTCTGAGCAGGAGTTGGAACAAAATCAGAAATGGTGGGAAAAAGGCTGAATCTGGCAAGACTTTGGCAACAGGTCAAAGTGAGGAGCAGGGAAAGTTCCTTTTATTGCTTCTGCTGCTCGTAAAACAAAGTAACTTAAAGACATGATTAACTCACTGAAAACTAAAGCAAGGGGAAACATTCACAGAGTTCATTTTAGATCTTGTACTGTGTGAGAAATATACTTACAACCTAATCATAAACAGTTTTGCAAGTGTTAATGATAGCACATTGGTGGAAGAGGTTAAACTGTTGGAAGCTTTTGCAGATGACTGCATCTCCTGTTGATCTTATAAATAGCAATATATATGTGCTTGTCTAACTTGTTTAGAATAACTATGATATTTTTATGTAATATACACCTACCTTTTAAGATAGAGGTGGCTGAATATTTCATTAGATATAACTGTGGGAAAAAAAAACCAACAACTTCATTTACCTTTTCCTGCAGGTTCATTGGGTCCCCTTTCAGACAATGCCAGTTCCAGAGCTATGCCAGAGGAAGCGGTGCTCTGGCCACCCCTTGCGGGACTTGTCTCTGAAGACAACATATACATATATTAGCCTTGCAAAGGTAGCATCAACTCTTCTTTCAGTAACGTGTCCAAAAATGCATATTCTGAATGATAATCAACTGGTAGTCTTCTAACCTTAATTTAATTCATAGTTGCAAGACCGTTCATTAATGGTTAGATAAGTTTTTGTGGTCAGTGTTTGACAGTGAACACCCCTTTCCAGTGCAGTGTTGGGCACCCTATATTCTGTGTAACCTGTCCAGATTTAGGGAGACAATAGTGCTATTTTACATATCCATGAGAAATGCTGAATCCTGAATTTACAGTACAGGGTAATATTGTAAATTGGAAGAGGTTTAATTCAGTTTTTACTTGCCTTTTCCTTTGGTCTTTGCAGATGTGCCTGCAGAAGTCTTCTCGGAGGGGACAATTTTGGCTTGCATTGAGTTAATATCTCCTGGGAATGAAGTTGGGGAGGTGGTTATCTCCTCCACTGGGACCACAGCTTCCATAAATCCATCCTCTTCTGAATAAGCAGAAAGAGGAAATCAGGAGAAGACATCCAAAATAAACATTGAGATTTTCATATTAGATAGATGGCCAGAGTAATATCCTCGGGCAGAACTGGTGTGAATTGATGGTCATAGAGGAAAAAAAAAGAAAATTAAGATGAAAATTTTAAAGCAAAGAGAATCCACACTGTTCATTTCTTCACAAATCTTGTCTTTCAGAAGCAAAGACACTGGTTAAATATGACCAGTTTAACTGCTGATTATTTTTGTATATTTTATACTGAGTTTCATACTGAGGTAAAGAGCTGTGCCAGTTGCTGAAAATAACAGGGGTTGCTGTTTAGTCAGCCACACTGAGAGATGAAGTGCAGGTGAGATGTCATGAGATGCAATTTTCTGAGCAAATTGCTTAAAAAAAAGTGTCAGCTCACATGAGGTTACCAAAACTGAGAGCAAAATTAGTGAATGCAAAAAATTATTTGGCTGATGCAGACCTGAGAAACTGAAAGATTTACTATGTTTTAACCACAAGGAAATATCAAGGGGAAAATAAGTTGATGTTGAATAGAAACATAAATTTAAGGAGATTCTTTATCTTAAAAATTGAATTGGTATTTATTTTTAGATTATTTGAAGCTTTATTGTTGAGGAGAAATATATTCTTTAATTTGGGATTGCTTAACATCCTTCTTAACCTTTTTGTATAAGCTAACTTGTAAATGAAAACACTTATCAAATGGAAATCAAATGGTTTATTTTTTTCTAAACATCAGTATGAAGAATGTGGCATTTCACAAACAAAATACTTTGAAAATACTAGTGAACGTGTGTTTCCACATTTTTGAAGCCTTTCCTTTTGAATTCCTTGGCTGAACTTATTAATTGGATTAAACTCAAATTCATTAAATTTGTCCCTCTGATGTTTTGGTTTTATAGTATGTTGAAAATAACCTCTCATGGGATAAGAGAACAGATTAAAAGAATGAAAGTACTGCTAAGAACACAACAAAGCCCATGAAAGGTTGCAGAAAGGGATCAATCGCAGCACGCTAGTCTTAATACCTCAGCAAGGTGCACATTTCATGCCGCTTTGTTTGACAGTGTCGTGTTCAAATGAAAGTGATTCCTGATATAAGAAATAAAACTGGAGTCTGGGAAATTCTGCACTTAGCTAAGAATAGACATTACAGAGTTATCTTCCCGGAGCTATGCAGACCTGCAGCACAACACACAGATTTTCTGGGACATTCAAGTTAACGGAGAAGAAGATGTAGGGATTTTGACCAGTGCTTAGTAGAGCAATGCCAAATTTCTGTATTGAGATGGGAGACATGGATACTGTTCAGGCAGTGTAATCAGAGTTAAAAAATTACTATTTTCTACTCTTCATATTCAGTGTTCCTTGACATTTTTCTGGTGCATTCCAGTCTGCCTGAACAATCCTTTCTAAAAGGGGCCACTGAAAACTTCCAAGTCTACCGAGGTGCTCCACTTCTAGCTATAGCTACTGGCGTGGCTGTGCTCAAAGCAGTAACAACTGCAAAAGCTGAAATATGTTTTAGACTGGGAAAGAACTCCATGAAATTCTGTATAATAAAGGAAGAGAGAAAATCAAAATAAACCCTTCTGGCAGCAGTTGCTATGAATGCAATTTAAAGGACCAACCATTACACTGGAAAGCCTTATGTGAAGAGGTTTTCACAAATGCTTGGATGAGGAGCGTAAATGAGTGGCTGGAGGCAACGAACAGCTAATACTTCTCAGTCTGATTTTATTGTTTATGGTTTTGCTATCTTACCTTGATCTAAATTTGTTTCTCTGGCAGCCCTGTTGTCACCACGCATGAAATTTTAACTGTGATGCTTTTAGATGAAGTACTGCGGTGTCAGTCAAAGATGAAGGAAAGCTGAGTGTCACTGACCTTTTTTTGAAAGGATGGGGGTAACAGGAGCTGTACCTCTGTGGTCCCTTGTGGTAACTGTACAAAAAACAGAGGCATCATGGTAGTGACCTACCTGCTGTATTTCTGCAGTGCATTTCTGGAGTGGCTTTTACTGAAAACATCATAAAGCTTAACCAAACATCACTATTAGCCTTGTTTTATAAGGAGGGTAATTAGGAGAAACAAAGTGATTTGCTGAAGGATGTGCAAGTCAGCAGAAGAACTAGAGGTATTATTCAGAAATCCTGTACTGCAGATTTTTAACTGTGACACCACAGAGCTTCATAGACCAAAATCCATTTTCACCTAGAGTTCAATCGCCTGATTCATCAACAAAAGTATAATCAGACTCTTACCTCTGGCTTTGGAAGTCCCCAGGACCATCTCACTGGGCTCAGAAAAAATCACTGTTGAAGACAAAATGCAAACTCAGAAAGCAAGTTGCCAGCACAGACTCTTATGAAAAGTCAAGCTGCTGACAAGGGCTGTTTCAGCAAAGCGAGAAGACCCCAGCATTTCATGTATAAAGATGTACCTGTTTTTCTCAGCAGTGCATTGATTGTTGTAGACAAAGTGATGCTGATAAAATAACCTTGCTGAATTCAAATAATGTGCTTTACACTAACAAAGAAGCAGCATAAATATGACTGAGGTGGCAAATTCAATATTAAATCCATTTGACAAGCAAATACACTAAAGAGGATTAGGACTAAAATTTCACTGTTGTGCACAGAAAGGTGCCACACTTCTCATGAACACCTTGTGTTTGCCTGCACTGAAAGTCAAGTATGGATGGGCATATTTCTCTACCCTCCAATTTATTTCTTCACCCGATAAAATGATTTTCATTTATCAGCTGCTTTTTGCTAAATTATAAATATAGCTATCAAATTATCAAAAAAAAAAATATCTCCATATTTTTGTGTGTTAGGATGTTGTAGTGTGAGGAAGAATGTCTTTGCCTTTGGATGATTTCTGAGTGCTTAGCTTTTGTTTAATGCAGTTCCCACAGTTGTCAATGGTGAAGCACCTTTAGGCTTAAATGGGAAGAAAATCACTTAATGGTAAGTGGTTCTCCAAATGTTTCCTTCAAAGCCTGACTAGATATGTTATCTGTGATACATTTTCAGCTTTCTAAAATTCCTAATACAGGTATTTATCCCTTGGTAGTGTATTGGGCCTTATGAACTATGCCTCTTTAGAGAGCACAAATAATTTATTTTTGGGGGGGGGGAAGTAAGAGATTGCTACAAATGTGCAAATACAAGTGCACTCGGTCCTTCAGGAGTTCTTAGTTTTCTATTACCAAGCCTCCCAGAAATAGCCAGAAAAACATTAACCAATATTGGAGCTGTTGTTAGGTGAGAACAGGAAAGATCTGGTGAAAAAACCCACCTTAATAATACAGGAGAGGTATGAAGGAGCAGCCAGCACTTACACTTGGCATAAAGCCTTTGCAGGCAGGTACATTTGTGCACGTGGCACTTTTTTAAAAAATAAATTTTAAAAAAACCCTGTTAAAGTCTGAAGCATATTTTCTTTAAAAAAAAAAAAGAAGAAAAATTCCATATGGTTTTTCATTCTTCCAGACTCACGCTTAGGGCAGTGGCTCACTATGAGAAACACAGAGGAGCACACTACAGATTGAAGCCAGGTTCTCAAGTTCTCAAAAAGTGCAACTTTCCACCTCTGTAAGTTGGACAGTGGATGGTCCAAGACCGGTCTCCTTCTCTATTTCACTACAATATGACTTGGCCCTCACTAGGTGTGCCCTCCCAGAGCCACCCCGGGCTTTGGATGACGTCTGTCCGTGGCCTCGTCTTGTAGTGCACACTATGCAGGTGGGAAGAGAATAGTTTTCTCATGCAGCAGCAATGAGATTTTATAAACATCTATTCCTGAATAAGATAGCAATTGATTGTAGCAGGAAAAAAATTAAGATTGTCAGAAGAACCACTTGATCTTGTGGTTTATGAACTCACCAAGAGGCACCAGATTGAGAGGGACTGAAACGTGCATCTCTATATTGCAATAAATAAGCCACCAAACTGCTGGCTCATTTGCAACAAACCATGCTCAGCTTTTCCTCATGATACTACTTGATCTTGTACAATTAAAAGTCTCTTTAAAGAGAACGGATATGCAATTGGCTGTGGGTCCAGTGGTTGGCACCCACATATCAAGTCTCTGCCAAACAGCTTATCTGCTACCACCTGTGTTCCCGGGGGAAAAAAAAAAAAAAAAAAAAAAGTCTCTTTGGGTGAAAACTGGTTTTGTTGTAGAGTGCTCATTCTCAACTCTTGGGAAACTTACTGTAAACACCATTTGAACACATCACATGAACAAATTGAAAAAAAATGTACCTTCCCATTCAATCTTGAATTCGATCACCAAAACTTTGTATCTTATTTTATATCAGTGCTTTTAGAAGGGCAGAAAGCAAGCAAAAAGCTTATTCTTGTATTTTATTCTTTCAGCTTTTGGGAGCTGAAAAGAGTGCCTCTTGCACTGTAAGTTTCAAACCTTCTTCCATGGATGCAGTTGCAGCCTGTGTTTTGTCAGTCCCATGATGAAGGAATTCTGCAAAAATAAAAGCATTTTTACTCCAGAGAGTCATGCCTTTAGGATGCTTATTAGACAGGATCTTGGCATAACAGGATCAGAGTCATCAGAATGGAACTTATTTCTAAATATTACTACTGCTGTGCTTTTTGTACAGTTATTATATGATATAAATATAGCAAATACAAACCTAATTACTGATTATTACAATAACACTATCAAAATCCTACCTTAATATTTATTCACTACTGATACTAAATTCTACTCAGCAACATACAGTAGAATTAAAAAAAAAATCCCTCAGACTCTATCATAGTTTCAACCTAAACAAGAGAAATTGGCTAGCAATCAGCATTTTTAAAATTCTCTTTCAGCAGGCATTTAGATGCATGACCTATAGTGAAGGTATGAAGATAACAATTAAACTTTTAGACAGAAAAAATAGATGTTTAAATGCAGGCACTTGTCTCGGAAACTTGTTGAAGCAGGTCCTTAAAAGTGCATGTAAATAGAAAAGGATCCATCTGAAAATATTTTTAAGTTGCTTTTAGTGTTTTTCTTCTCATATTATTTCTAAATGAGATTCAGGGTTCTCTTCTGAATTCCTTCTCAGAAAAAGGAGTCATTTGGCTGAAATTTTCCTGTGCACCTGTGTAAAAGCTTGGCACAAAAATGGTGTTTTGATTTCTTAGGCTTTTTTTCTCTATCTTTCATATTTTGACCTCTTAGTAAAACTTGTCTTTGCTTCTCCGAAAAGCATTTGTAGCTTCTAAAATACTCGGGTTATTTTTTTCTGAGTATAAATCGCTCTCAATTTAATATACTCCAATGAAACAACTACAGAGATAATGACATACCGTCTGTGTGAAGTGTTGCTAGCTCTCCCTTGCTGGTTGTTTCTGTAAAAAAGAAAGCTTTCTCTTGGACTAAATCATGAGAAGGAGGGTTGTCATTGTTTAATCTGAACAGTACAGATCAGGAGTTCATTGAATTTATTCTTATTAAAACAAAGATTTAGGCAAACAGATTCCCATTTCATTCAAATTTTCCTCTGTAATAAAGAATCTGCCAAAATCTTTTTCCTAGAAATTTGTCAGGATTTTTTTTTTTCAGTCTGAACTGAACAGAAGAGCTACATAGAAAGATAATAACATTAGTAAACATTAAATAAGCATGTTTCATTCAAAGGATTCTTTCTTTGATTAAGAAATATAATCAAGAGCCTAAAATTAGTGGAGGTATTCAGTAAGATAAAACTGATTCTTTATCAGCAGTGCTAAAGCCAGCATGATTTTCCTGTTAGCACCTAACAATTCCCCCTTTATTTATAATGTGTTGGAACTGCCATTTTTATATTACAGCCACCAGATCCCAGTGAAAGGTTACTGGCTTACGTGAAACAATTTTCTGGCTTTGATGCAAACTTTCCTGTGCCATTTTATTCTCCTTTGACCTATTCATGAGGGGGGTGCATGAATCCAGAGGTCGATACAGATGTGTATATCTGTCCTTAGCTCTGGGGTGTGTGAATATCAGCCAAAGGATTAGAAAAAATAGCATTGCCTTTTCATGTGTGTCTCCACTTGGGAGTTCAGAGGTTCTCCCCCTGCCATGCTCTGATTGCAATCCATATGAATTAAGTTTTTATCCATCCCTGTTCCCACAGGACAGGTATTCAGTCTTACAAGGCTGTAATTTCAGCTTCAGGGCACAGATCAGTGTATGACAATGGAGATAAGTATCCCCTTCATCTTTAGAGAGGATTTCTCCTTCCAAGATGGAAGCCAAGTAACAGAGCAGAGTGGGTCTATTTTTGCCTTTCCAGCTAGTTTTTGCATGATTTAAGAGGAAATATGAGCTAGCAATATCTCTGGTTTGGCATTTCTGCTAGTGACCTCAGTGGGTCACTAATCAACCCAAGTATCACCCATGCATTCAGGTTGGCAAGAGCCTCACAGGGTTGGCAGGAGCCTCCTGAAAAAAGTATTTCTTCATATCTAACTGGAATTTGCATGTTGCAGTTGTGTCTCTTGCCTCTTTCTGTCCCTGTGCACCTCCAGGAAGAGTCGGGCTCCATCTTCTCTACACACCCCACTAGGTATTGAGGACAGCAAAAAATTCTCCCCTGAGCCTTCTCTTTATTGGGTGCTCCAGCCCCCTCACCAGCTTGGTAACCTCTCCTGGACATGCTCCAGGATGGCAATTAGTCCACCCTGCTTCATCTCTCTTGGTATTCACTTGAGCAGCAGTAAATGGAAAGGACACATGAAACAGAGAATAAGACAGACTGCCAGATTTAGTTCAGGAAAGCACCCAGCTACTGTTTCATTCTTGTTGGGTCAAATTCAATGCCAGAGAAAAATCTGGCAGGAGGAGGCAGTCAATCGGATCCTTATTATTACCTGTAACCAGAGAGGGACAGAAGGCGATATCCAGCCCATTCAGGGAAGAGTTAATACGCACGTTCACAAAGCATTCAATGGCATCTTTGTCGCAGTTGCAGAGGAACTGTTCACAGGGATCCCCAGACTCTGAGAATAAAATAAAAATCCAAACAAGGTTCTGTTGAAATATCTTTTCCACCTCCTGGTTTTTCCTCCCTGTAAGGTTTGTGTCTGTATTCATTAGTGCAAACATATTTATACTTTGCTTCTTCACATTAAACACAGTCAAGTTTCAAGTAGAACACAATTTGTTTTTGAAATGTCATCCAATACAGCCTGGCACAGCTCGCAATAGACATCTTGCCTGTACTGGTCCTTCCTGTAGAGTAGTGAGGGTTACAGAGCAGTGTTTTCCTGCCTGTAGTTTTTCCATGGAAAACTTAACCCAGCTGATAACAAGTCTGACATTTCACAGGCTTCATTTAAATATTCCTCCTAACCCAAAGTCGTAATCCACAAGCCAAACCTTTCACGTAAGATGTGTTTTGCTCCTTATAAAGGATATAAAAGTTTCCCAACAAATACTGTTTTCCCACTTCAAAACCTACTTTCCAGAGTTTCAAAAAAACATTGACCTTTTGGAGCTGTCACACTTATGTTTCCCATTTTTAATGGGGACTATTCTGTTTTTGTTTGTTTGTTTGTTTGTTTTTTGTTTGTTTGGGGTTTTTTTTAAGTTTGAACAAAATCTTTTCTGATTATTAAATATAGAAAGAGCTAAAAAAGCACTATTATGTTTAAATATACTTGGACTTTTATAGTTTGGCCTAAATAGCAAAAATGTGTTTAATTTAAAACAGGAAAAAATAAATTGGTTCAGATGGCTGCTTAAACAAGCTGTAAGGGTATTGGTTTGGGGATTCTGCTCCTCTTTACTGGTAACATCGAATTGTGTTCTAGCATATAGTCTTTTCTGAAAGTCAATACTTGTGAAAAACTATATTAAAAGTATTTAAGCATTAAAGATCTCCACTCCACATTTGCCAGGACTGTACCAGTATTGTGTGGAGTAGCTTCTGTTACACCACCATGATCTCTGCCCTTGTCGGTGATACTGTTGTAGCCGAGGAGTGTATGTGACCCTGTAAACAAAGAATTTGATCTCTCAACCTATATAAAAATCAGGCCTTGAGGCTTCAGAAGGGAACTCTTTTTCAGGTCTTTCCCCAGTATCCACTGCATTTCTGATACGTTAAGATAATCAATGCTTAGTGGTCCTGCAAAGTCAGCAAGAGGCTGCTGCTTAGAGAAGCCCTGAAAAGTTTCTTGTTATTTGACTTCAATTTTCCTGCCTAGTTGGGCTTTGATGCCTCTGTGTATTCCTATTTCCATTCACCCCTGAGCAGAACAATTACACCCTTAAAAATCAACACGTGGAGATGGTTTCTACTTAATTTGTATGTGACTTTTGGTAGATAGATGAGAACAAATGGCTTGGTCATGGTGAGGTTCCAGTATTAAGCTCTTGGGATAGGTTAATCTTACCACAGGTCAGGTTTTCAGTTGAGCAGCTGACATCTGTCGAAATCTTTGATGGGTCCCATGTGCACTCCATCTCTATTGCTTCCTCGTAGCATTTGCGGTGCTGGAAACAGCATCTTAAAGAATGAAGAAACAAGGAGTTTGCACAATTTAGTTTCAGTTCAAGATCAGACTGCAATGCCGTCATGTTGCTCTTACACAAGAATGCAAAAGATGCCAAAGGGATCCTCAGTGTGGTCCCTAGACACAAGAAAGGCTGAGTATTGCTTTCCCCTGAACAGTCTAGTGGGTTAAGTACAGCTGGATGCAAAACTCAGAGGTGGCACCGGGTCTGCATGCTGTGGGAGACCACACTTACATTTCTGTCCTGCTGTAGTATCTGAGTTCTTACAAGGACTCTACAGGCAGTTTAAATGAAAAATCCACTATCAGTGCCCAAATATCCACCCACAGCACTGTCAGCTCACTGCCAAACAGTGCCCCATGGCTCAACTCTAGAGGTCTTGGCTCCAGCCCTGCCACAACCTTTCTCATTGCAGACTTGGAGAGCTATATAGAACCTGGCACTCATGGAGGGTTAATGTCTCAGCAATGCCTTGTGCATCCCTGTGTCTCACTGACACTAAATAAACACTGCAGTGCTATCTTCTGTTTCTTGTACTTTCTCTTCTAGGCAACAATCAGAATTAAAATGCACCATTTAGCCATGGGAAGGGACCACGAAATATTTTTTTTTAACACTGAAGTAAAGCAGCTTTCATCCACCACCAAACAACAAAGGCAGTTGGAAACCTTGTGTTTTCCTACACCCCTGCTGTCATGCAAACATCAAATGCCTGCACGACCACTTTAGCTGTGAATAGCAATGAAAAGTAAACCAGAACAACAAGCTCTTCATCAATCCTCTTTTCTCTTCAGCTGTTCTTGAATAGGCAAGTCATTTACTTTTACATTATAGCAGCATCTGTATGCACTGACATCAGCTATAAATGAAAGACCAGTAAAATGTTGAGTAATCATTTACCCCAAATAAAAATGTTACATAGATTAAACAAGGTCTTGGTGTTAGATTTAGATTGAGATATCCTAATTTCAAAGAAACAGACTCAGAACAGGGGTCTGTTAATGAATTGCCATTGGTCTTGACCACGTCAAACGCAAAGACAACATTAACACTCAAACCCAGCATCTGCTGCCAGGCAGGGTAAACTTGTGATCATGATGTAAGGAGTTTAATTAAGCTCATGTGGGATTTTTGTTTAAGACACGGTGAATGTGTTATTACATGTCACCTGCAGCCCTGCATATGCACTGAACTCGTGGGTGGACAGAAGCAGTCTGCACTGATCAAAGCAGGTAGGAAACACCTGTCCCGTGCAGGTTCCCTTCTAGGCTATGCATTCACTGTCTCACTTCCTATATTTCGGAAGCATTTAATATTTAATAATTTACTATATTAATAAATAATTATGACAATGTTTACTATGTTCTCAAAACCAGGGAAGCAGTCCAAGTCTTGGTGAAAGACAGAAGTGATGAGGTTTGCTCAGATTGCCAGCAGCAGAACAGAGCTCATGAACAGCATTATCCCACCTGATGAATTTTCAAAGCCCAATTTCTTGCACTCCAGTGTCTCTGCTGCCTGTTAGTGCTTTTGCTCCCTGCTTTAACCTGCTCTAGGAGCCTGCAGGAATGTATTCAACAAAGGTGAGGGCAAATACCATTCAGCAGAGAGGGCCTGATGGTTCCTCTGCACCACAGACATTACTGTGCCTTGTTTCAGAAGCAAGGCTGAAGTTTGTGAGCTCCATCAGGAACGGGGTTTTAAACATGCAGCTGCTGAAATGTCTCAAGACTCACTTCTGTCTCTGCCTGAGGTCTAGTGAGGTGTCAGCAGCTGAAAGCTCCTCTAACTGCAGAATTAGTCTAATACAAACTCCCTGCAGTTCTTGTTTGTTTAGAGCATCACAATTACATCAACATATACTGGAACAATTAATCAGAAAATTCACTTGCCTTCCTTTTGCAAGCAGGGGATTGTAAAACATGGATTGCCCTCTGGGCATATTTCTCTTTCCCCATGGACTAAGGAGGTAGACTAGGCTCCTAATTTAGATATGACAACCAGCTACTCTGGGAAATGAGAAAAGGTTGGTCTTATGAGCACAAACACTTTCCACAAAAACCTAGTGAGATGTTCAGCCCTGTTTTATGGAGCAGAAATGGCAGTGACAAAATCCAAGGTTTGCAAAACTACTATCTAAGAAATAAAGATAGTGAAAAAATTGCAACCCTCTGGGAACTGTGTCTGAGAAAGACATGTGGCAGTCACCTGTTCGGAGGCTTTCTTGAATCAAGGGCATTTCTGTGTCAGTGGTGAAACAATAAGCAGTCTCTATTTACTGCAAACTGCAGCGGGGTTGCCATGCTGCTAAGAAAACCTCACCGCCGGACTGCTAAGCAGTTTGTAAACACAAAGTGACTCTGTAGACGTTTTTCAGGACAAAACAGCTGATAGATCATTCCGCTGTTTCTTCACTTATGTTGTTCTGCATTAAAATGAAGCTGAGTGAAGTGAAAGCCCAGGTGCTCAGTTCTTCAGGTATCAATCCATTGAACTGGCTCAAGCTCTTGTTTCAGCATGTCATCACGATTGTTCAGAAAACCTTTAATAAGAAGACTTATGGCTTTCTTCCAGTAGCAGGTTTAGATCTTTTTCCCGGCTGTCCCATGCAGGAAAGTGAATGGATTAATTTCCATCTAGCTATAGGCATTAGCCCTTTCTGAGCCATTGCTGTCTTCACTCAGGGAATTAATACATTACATTATATTATTGGAAAACCTTTTTTCTATTTAAGGATGGATGGATCTTGATTCTCTTTTATTTTCTTTTCACACCTCCTGCTTATATAAGTGAACAGCCATTTGATTGTGTGGCCTGAGATTAGACTTTTTCTCACTAGCCTAGTCAGGGTCTGGGGCAGTATTCCTCCAAAGCTCAGAGTGGAGTTTGGATGGTTTTGTTCCCAGTGCATGATATTGGGAAGAGCCATTGAGCTACATTGTTCTTCTCTGTCTCTGGATGCTCCGTTGTCTTACAACCTCAGCATGAACACAGATATTCAGGGCAAGATCTACTTAACCTCCTAACTGCCACTTGAAGTCATACTTAGCTGTAACTTGATTCTGTTGATGCTTAAATCCCCCTCAGATGCCAACATCTTCATCATAGTCCATTATGAGCTTACATTGCTGGTGCATTACACAGATCCCAATACCAACAGTTTGGTAAGATTGTAAACCTACTAAACTGCTCAGATTAATGCTCTCCCACTCACCTTATTAACAGGCCCTCCAGTTTTTGGCACTGACTTAAGTGTGAGACAGAATTCCCCAGTACAAAAAAATGAATGAGTCCTTGTTCACAAAGATCTGTTCAGAATTTAGAGACCTCTGGGTAAGATATGTCAAGGAGATGGGTATGGTGTTTACTTATTCTATTACATTAATGGTCACTCTGTAACCAGCTTAACCAGCTGTGCCACCAGAGTTGCACTGGTGGAATTGTATTCAGGTGTGTGGGATTCTGCTTTTATCCGTAAGATGGGAGTATTTTTCCACACTGAAGTGTGAGGAAATAAAGAGACACTCCAAGCTATGAGGACAAAAAAAGCAAGTGGATGATCACACGCTGTAGGTTATGACTACCTTGATTTCATCTGTTTCCAAGCCATGCTGTAAGGCAACTGGTATGGGGTGCTGGCCCAGCAAAAAGATAGTGCTTACCAGCAGGTAGGAATAACACAGGATATGTCTGATAAACCAGAGCTGAAGTTATCTTTTGTAGGTCACTTCAGATATTTAAGTTGCGAGTGAGTGATGACTGGATTAAACAGAGCCGGACGGTGTGGGACTGAATTACCCTCTGGGTAAATAATCTATTTTTTCACAACTGTCCTTAAATCATTTAGGTGAGTGTTAGGCTTTGCGTCAACAGAGCATGAAGGCACTGACAGCCAGTTAGGGCAGAAGAGGATGTCTCATGGATAAGACTTACTCATCAGCTTCATCCACGGGGAGCCCTTCTGTCTCAAACCGGCAAGAGCAGCCATAGTCCTCAAAATCCCTGGGACAAAAACCGGTAACACACTTCATTTTGTTCACAAAGTTGAGCAGGGCAGGGAAGTTAGTGAAGATGGACTGTAACCAGGTGAAGTGAGAACCCAGGCAGTCTGGAAAGAGAACAGCCATAAAACACATGGTAAATGGAGGTGAGCCAGGTGTAGGTCCCACATGGGTGACGTTCACATGAATGCAGAGCCTAAGCAAGGCAGTAACACAGGGCTTGACACTCAGAAGTATTTAGTATTATAGTAGTCTTTGGGGAAATCTACAGCCTCAAAAATCCTTGTTCCTTTCCAGTATATATAAAAGCTAACTCCAGAGGATTTATATTCAGTGCCCAAGTACAACTGGAACAAATACTTACCAAAAAATAATGCAACGCTTTCCACATTTTGAAAGACACCATTGAAGAATGTGGCATTACCTAAATGAAAAAATAAAGAAACCACACTTCTTTTAAAAAAAAAAAAAAACAGATGACAAGAACTGACCTTAGACTGCCCCTGGTCTTGCTTCAGTTGTTAAACCATTTTGAGATAAGAGTTACTAGCTATTTGCTAACAGCACACTTCCCTGCAGTGTGTCTGGAGTACAAGTGATTCCCCACTGCTATGCAATATTGCAGAAAGTAAAGCTTAAATCATTCTTACTCAAGATTCTTTCAGGTGTGTTAAGAAGCTCTTGCAGGAATGCTGGCGGCTCCAATTCTTGGCCACCTACCTCAGCAAACAAATCTGAGAAGAAAAAGATTTTAAAATAATAACAAAAATAAAAGGACAGTCCCACAACATACACTTCATTACGACACATACACTGCAGGCATTTAGAATACCTTCCTACACTAGCAAGCTGATTTATCTAAGCCACGAAACACTTGCTAGCTCCATCTGCACCCAGGAAAGCCCCAAAGTGCACTGGTAAATCACATTGACTTCGGCTTAAAAATCAGTCCTCTGTTAAGCTGAGGTATTGCTAGTGAGGCTGTGCTAACCCTTGTCTTCCTGTGCTTTCCTGAACAGTAGCACTTGCTGGGATAAATCAGTACAATTGTGTAAAATTGTTTTAGTTGCCCAACTACTTTCATTGTCCCAAATGTTTCTACTCTGTAACCCTGTGCTCTTATTTGAAGCACAGTTATCTGAAGTCAAGAGGTTTTTTTCTTCTGAGTTCTTATTGCGTATTGCCTTATTGCCTCTCTTTCTATCACTAGTTTTCTTAACTTGATTATCTCTTTTTCATTTTGAAGGTGCCATGTTATATTTTCCACACTTTTTATTTTTTGTTTCCCATGTCCTGAATTAAGGCTGAAATCTAATACTTGTTCTCTCCCCCTTTTTTTTTTTTTTTCCCCTTGTTCTTAACTTCTGTATGATTTAGGAGAGAATGTTACTTTAGATTTATTTAAACTTGACCATTTTAAAAAAGAAATAAAAAAAGGTAATAAATTAAGCATGTTTATTGTCTTAGGAATCTAAAAAAACTGATGAAAATACCTAATATTAAATTCATGGCATAATTTATGTCTTAGAATAACTGGCATTGGGAAAGCTGTCTATTTTCTCTACAAAATATTCTAGAAAAGAACTGAGTTATCTTGCTAATATGTTGCATTTTCCTGCAATAAATACAAGTGTAAGAGAGTAAAGTGGAGAAGTGGGTTTTTTAAATATAAGGCTTAACTCCAGGTTTAGCAAAGGATTGGGGAAAAATAAGACTCTTTTAGGTCATATATAAGGGCCCTCTCAGGATGTCTACAACTTTGTGGGGTGACCAAGATGTTCATGGTAACAGTCATATGCCTCCAGCAAGTGATTTCTCAAGTTTAGTGGCAGAATATGGATACGGGGTAAGAGCTGCTTCCTCTTAAGCTATTCTTTCCCTGAAAGTCTTGGTCACAAATAAAAGCTTTTAGATGAACAGCAATCCATCCTTCATTGTCCTTCACTGCAGCAGGTCTGAGGGGAAGAGACTGCTTTCCTCAAACCAGAAAAGGTCTCCTGAAAAAGGCTGGCCTTTCCACAGAACTGGAACAAGTCTGCTGAAAGCTTGACAGCCACGAGGAGTTCAGATTCAAGTGAAATAATGGTGTGCCTTACAAAATAAATAACATTTGTACACATGCTTGCTAAAGAAAATCTCCCCCTTATTTTCTGGTTTAAAGCCTGTATTTGCCCTGCAATGACAAACATCTTTCCCCCAAGACGTGCTCTATCAAATGTATCTAGAGCCCGGTTTTGACACACTGCGTAACACCATGGCTCAAACTCAGTGTCTGTTGATAATTTAGTCCTTTCAACAAAGTTTTGGAAAATATGAAAATCCCATTGAGTTGAAATGAGACAGAGGAGAGAATCCATAAAGCCATGTTACAGAACTGCTGGAAGTTGTGATTGCTCCAGCATCCTTCACTTGCACTTAGTTCTTCTCAGCAAATTTAATTTGCACACAATTAGCACATAAATGTTTGAAGCTCCCCTGGAAAAAAAAATCTCTCCCACAGGGACAGCAGTTTGGTAAACCTTTAGCTCTTCTAATCCTTTCATTATGAAGAATGATATTTCTAACTGTCACTAAGCCAAGATCAGTGAAACAATGTTTGCTAACGAGACTGCTTAATTTTGTTTAAATTGTGGGGAGTGGGACAAAAAGAAAATACATTTTTGGATTAATTATTCTCTTTTTTTTTTCTTTTGCTATCATGTCTTTTAGGTCTGTTGGTCCTACATCATTCCCTGTATATCCAGTGAAAGATTGCACTACAAAAATCAATCCTTTAAACCTCAGAAGACTCTGGGGAGGTCAACTTCTCTCACCTTTCTCAAAACCTGCTAAATTACTTGGCACATGTCCTGAGGAGACTTGTCTGATATATCAGCTCTTGGGCTTTCCAGTTGTATACATTATCCACAGAATTTCTTTCAACACTCAGCTACATGTAAAAATGTTCCTGGGCTGTGTCTGTGATGTTGCTACTCTCACAATGCTTTTCTGAAGTATTACTGAAAAAGGCCCGTCAAAAAACCCATCAGTGCCTCTCCAGTTCTTTTTTGCAAACATGACCCATTAAAATGTCATAATATAAGGCATGGACACAGCTATTATAATCCTCAGGGAGCAGAAACCTTGATTGTGCCAGGAAAAGTCAGGGTACAGCAAACTCAACCTATTTGATTTATTCAAGGTAAATCACATTAGCTCCTCACAAAGATGCTAGCTCATGCACAGATACCTGCTTCAGTCTCAAAGCAGAGATCAGCAGAATAGATCCCACATAAATATACATCAATAATCCTCTCCAACCCCCAAAATAGTAGCATTTTAAATCTTCATGCTCAGGTTGTGCTTAGCTGAGAGAAAAGAATCTAAAAGCTGTGGCATAGCCTTGCGAGGTTTGAGGCAAAATCTCTTTCAAATGTTATGTCAGAAAAATGTAGACCCCTTTAATACTTTTATTTTTTATGAATAAATAGTGTAAGTATTTTAACATTCTTTATTACTGCAGTGGGAAATGTTAATATTCTTGCTGATAACTCTGTGTAGTAGGAGTCTTAATGTTCAGCATCAATGCATTTTAGCCCATGTATTTTGTGTTAGACCTGCTTCTTTACTGACTTCTATTGCATGAAAACCCTTAGAAGAGAGGCAGCCGGTGAAATAGGTCAGTGCAGAGTTTTGTCTGTGCCAAAATCCTGAGCTTTCCTTTCCCTTTAGAAATAACCCCATGGAGTGACCAGCAATGGTGTTAGACCTTCTAAGAGTCCTTCTCTTCGCCTACACGCTGATACTCTTAATAATATTCCTACCCAGTGCAGGGATTGCAGAAATTTGAAATGTTTGCCCATCCCTGTGACTGGAAAGCTCATTCACTGATAGCAATGAAATCTAAAGAGCTATATGAAGGTAAAAAAAACATATTCATAGTAAAACTTGAAGGAGGAGCTTTAGATGAACATGAGTTATATTTCAGGATGCACTGAATGGTTTGGAGAATTTATTCTTCTAAATACTCCAATATTATGGAGTATTTAGGCAATACACATATATTTAATTAATAGAACCTCTTTATATGTAACTTGTAACTTTTTTGGAGTCTAAAGGACTTAAATAATGACCAAATGTTAGCAGAAGGGAAGTTGCAAGATTTTGGTTTTAATTTTAAGCCCACTAGATGTTTCTTGCTTCACTACAAGACCTGAGAAAATATGTTTTATAAGTACTCCATAGGTAATCCTATTTAAGCGCATTTGGATGTTGAACAACCAGGTTTGAGGGGACAGAAAGTGTGGTTTTAAAGGATTGTTTCCAAATGTACATACTTAAAATAGTATTTAGGCATAAACGTCAAATAATCATAAAAATACATTGCCACTTACCACTGTAAAACACCATTGACATAGACACCATCAGAAGTACAATCATTTTTTTGTTTAATCCAAAGACAAGACGTTACGCAACAGACTGGTGTGCCTGGTGAGTTAAAAAAAATATTAGGCAGAACGTTAACTCTTGAATCTGGGAGTGGGAAGACATCAGTTTAGAAAATCATTCTTTTGTAGCCTGGCCATATTTCTGCCTGATGCAATACAGTTTTTACCCTTATCACAGTAAATGCACATATTACAGCAATGATGAGCCTTATGTATCCTTCGAATTTTACCGATGTCCTCTATAAATCTGATTAACAATGTTTATTTTGGAATTGTTTTAGGTGAGAACAGGCTCTGCAAAAGTGTCAGAGGCAAGGGAAGTCCATTTAGCAATAAAATGGTGTACTTGAAGTTTCTTTTGTTCTTCAAAGAGTTTTCACATCTTACTTGGTCTAACAGAATGTTTGAACAACTCTTCACATTAAGTTTAAATGCAGATATTGTGAAACACTGTGTAAATGAAGAGATATTCTGGGATTACTTCTATTGAACCCAGTTAATCTGCAATCTGTTATATTAGTTTGCTTCACATTGCAAAAATCTCTCCCACTTTGTAGTCATTTAGTCTAATCTGTGTTGAGACTGATCTAATGCATCACATGTTTTCCTAATGATAAATGCTATGTTATCTGGAGATCTTCAAGTTCTGGATGTGCTTGTTAGAGAAATGTGTGTAAAAAATTCTTCTGCAGCTAAAAGCCTTGCACTAGTATTCATTAAATGACAGATAATAGATTGGTTTTGAACTGCAGTCACAGTTTACCATAAATCTAGAATTATTTTCAAAGTAAGTCAGGTATGGAGTTTTTTACAGCCAAATAAATGAACATTTATTACTTTTCAAATATGTAACTACTGTTGATTATCTGCTCCCCTAAGGTCAAATATTGCATTCATTTCTATTAAAAAAATCATGTAATATTTCATCAGGAAGTGAGGTTATAAATCTAACACCTCTAAATATTTATAGTTTACTATCCCAAATCTCTTACCTATACTTTAGCCTACAACTCCACAGTACCAACTAGCTTATTCTACATTGTTTTCTTCATGATTCCTGTATTATAGAGTACATCTAGGAAGGCTTACCTTGAGGGATATTATTCGAAAGCAGTTGGATGGAGGACAAATGGGTTTCAACAAAGTCAGTAGTAAGTTATTTATACTCACCTGGATATATACCTCACCCATGTGATCACTTCCTTTATCAAACCCACTTCAACATTTATTAATTAATTCTTCCATGAGATTCCTTAGGGTCATTATGCCCACAGTGTATCTTAGTAATATAGCTCCAGTCATGTAAAGGATCTATACTGAGAACTCTGTTCTGCAGGTGCATTCACTGTATGGTAACTTTCCCCAATACTCTGGGATGTAATTAAACAACAATCATCTTATTGTTATTAATCACTCACAAAATCTCTGGGGCATGTGAATATGGCTTTAATAGCTTAGCAAGAGGTAGTGTTCAGTGATGAAAGATGAGTGAAAATTTATACAGCTTTAAACACTGACATTCCTCAGTGTTGAGAAGTCTGCTGTTGTCTATCCACAGTGGATCTGGTCCAAAACTGAGTGAAATCCAGGGGAAGGTTGAGTCGGTGAGCTTTGGGAAGGTTTGTCATTGGGAAGGTGTGTTTTCTGTCTGGTCAGACACAATTACCCTTCAAAGATGTCATCATTAAAGGCAAACCCTCCACTGTGTTTTATCATGGAGAGGTAAGAATTCTGACAAATTGGAAACAAATAACAAAAGACTTGGCTCCTCCAAGGACCTGTGAACTGCATTGTCTTCAGAAAGTCCTTTGACACTGTCTCGCTTAAAATCTTTGTAAAGAAGCTCTTGATATATGGGCTGGATGAGCCCAGCAAAGTGTGTTGAAAACTGGCTGAATGGTGGGACCCAGAGCATGGTGGTCAGTGGCGCGAAGTCTAGTTGGAGGCCAGTGACTAGCAGTGTTTGCCAGCAGTCACTACTGGGCCCAGTCTTACTTAAAATCTTAATGATCTGGATGCCGGGGCAGAGAGTACCCTCAGCAAGTCTGCAGATGACACAACCTAAGAGGAGTAACTGATATGTCAGAGGCTCATTCTGCCATCCAGATGGATCTTGACAGGCTGGAGAAATGGGCCAACAGGAACTTCATGAAGTTCAACAAGAAGTGCAAAGTCCTGCACCTGGGGATGTACAACCCCATGCACCAATATATACTGGGATCACCCACCTGGAAAGCAGCTTGGAAGAAAAGGGCCTTGGGATCCTGGTGGACACCAAGTTGAATGTGAGTAAGCAGTGTGCCCTTGCAGCAAAGAAGGTTAAAGATATCCTCAGCTGCATTAGGCAAAATATTGCCAGCAGGTGGAGGGAATGGATCCTTCCCCTCTGCTCAGCACTGATGAGGCCACACCTGGAGTACTGTGTCCAGTCCTGGGCTCCTCAGTATGCGACAGACATGGACAAACTTGATACAGTCCAAAGAAGGGTCACAAAGATGGTTAAGGGACAGGAGCATCTCTCATATGAGGAGGAGCTAAGAAAGCTGGGAATCTTCAACCTAGAGAAGGTTCAGGGGGTTCTCTGTCAGTGCCTTTAACACCTGAAGGGAGGGTGCAAAGAGAACAGAGCCAGGCTCTTTTCTGTGGTGTCCGGTGACATAACAAGAGGTGATGAGCACAAACTGAAACAGGAGGTTCCCTCTGAACTACAGGAAACACTTTTTTACTGTGCAGGTGACTGAGCACTGGCACAGGTTGCCCAGGGATGTTGTGGAGTCTCCCTCCTACTTCCTCCTTTGGAGATATTCCAAAGCCATCTGGGAATGGCCCTGAGCAATTGGCTCTAGGTGGCCCTGCTTGAGCAGCAGAGTGGACCAGATGACCTCTAGAGGTCCCTTCCAATCTAAACACTTCTGTGATGCTGCCAAGAAAAGGACAGGGTTCAGTCATACCATTTCTGTGACCAACCCCATCAAGGAACTTTACAGAAGAGTGAAACATGTCAGAAGTTATATTGATATGAAAATTCATATCTATGTGAGTTTTGGTTCTTCCAGTTGGAGTCTCCAGGGATGGCGTCAAGCGCACTTTTAGTACCTTGACGAGCGTTTTCAGCCTGACAAATCAGAGTGGCCTTGACAGGGCATAAAAACAAACATGAGTCCTCTGAGATAGTGATCTGCCACCGTAATTTCTGTACTTCTGCCCAACATGCACATATGTTTTTCAGGACTGAAAAACCTGGAATATGGAAAAAAACCACCTTTTTGAGTGCAGTCAATGAGTTAATTTTGTTCATGGAGCCTTCCTTTTTCACTCTTATTTTGCAGGTTTTCCCATTAATTTTCATTATTCTTATGGGAAAGCCAAACAGTAAGTCTTAACAACTGTGACAAGAAGGTTGTCATTCAGGACAGGCACCATTAACCTTTTCTCAGCTCCTTTCAGAAGACACCCATAACTATGTGATATCTTCTCATTCCCTCCTCATGAACACGCTCAAGCAGTAGCTCTCAGCCTTTTCCAAGGCCTTAGAGTGGAGATGGCTGTGACCCACCCCCAGTGCCAGACATGGCTCAGGCGCACCCTATCACACTATAGTGAGGTTAGCAATTCGCCCAAGGAATTCTATCCCTAAAGAAAAAAAAAACCAAAACAGAATGTTTTCTTATAAACACAGAATTGTCCTTTTGAATGGAGATCAGTGCTACAACTCAGAGCTCATTAAATTCATTAAAATAATTTAAAAAAAATCTTTTAAAAGGGAATCCTCTTCAAAACTATTTTTATTTGATATCATCTTTTTATTCAAACCTAAAGGAACCCAGCAAGTCAAAATTACTTTAATCATTGTTTTCTACCCTTATGTTATTTTTTTCATGTCTTTCTTTCTGAGTTCTCAGAAAACTTCATGGTAAAAACCTAAGAAACAACATAGAGATTTTATTTTTTTTTAAAATCATGTCTTCAGGCTTTAAGATGTTTTTCTGAGATTTAAAAGCAAAAGATGCTCAAAAATGTAATTCACAGAGCTCTTCACAGCAGAACTGATCCTGCCTTGTGTGAGGAGAGTTACTGCAGGCAAGATCTCTCCACAGCATTGCAGTACCATGGCCATGTTAATATTCCTGATATATACATTCATTGTGTCTATGTTCCTGTTTCTTCCACTGCCCTAACTTTCAATATCCACTGTAACCGGTACTACTCCAATCTATCCTGCTCTTTGATATGACGGAAACGCTTCTGTCATGCTCTTGAACACAACAGTGAAATGTATTTTGGAAGAGGGATGCTGCATCCTACCTCTCCCTGGAGGCAGCATTCCTTATGGTGCCACCTTTAGCTTTATATGACATTGGACACGTATTTCCTCAGTGAAACATCAATGTGCACCAGCTGTAGTGCAAATAATCCTTTTTTGAAATATTATTGACTTGATGATGTACTTTGGGTTGATAGTAACATCATATTGCTGCAGTGTAGCAAAATATAGTATTGTGCAATTTGTTTGGTTATTCTTTCCTTCTTTAGAACTGGTTTTTAGTTCACCAGAGGTGCATACAAGGAAGGAGATGAATCTTGGTGATCTCACACAGATGTATCACATAGTGAGAGTACCAGTGGTGTAGACATTTCCTTGGTCAAGCTCTGCACTTGCTGAAGTAATGGGAGAATCTTGATTTGAAATAATGGATAATCTGAATGTGTTTAATACCAGAAAAAATCCTTCTTGTCTTTAGTATTTCAGGTTGCCTTTAAATTATTTTTATTTGTTCAATTTGATTATGTTTTCTTAAATATAAATAAAACTAGAATAAACTATTTGTATTCACTAGCCAACCACACAAATATCCTTTATAAAATACAGTTTTTAAAAGCCTTTGAATGCTTTTATTGCAGTTACATCACTTGTATAAAATAAGTCTGGTTTTACACATTATTTTTACAATGCCTTGGAGGAAGACACATTTCTAAATTAACATCTGGTTAATAGCTTGTCTTACAAATATTTGCAAATAACATGTTGCATCCTGATTTTTACACTGAGAAATGAAAGAGACAACTAAAACTGCCACCAGTCTTCCAATTTGCAGTAAAATTCCTCAGTGCTCTAGACCGATGTACAGATGTTTTTAAGGCATTTTTGTTTTAATGCTGGAAGAACACGAGACAATTGTTATTAGAATAGGTTTTACGAGGAGAATATAAAAACAATACATGAAGATTAAATAGTTTTTTAAAAAATCTGTTAAAATCATTATTAGGTAAAATAGCTATCTGGTGAAAGACAGCAAATACTATGGATTTCTAAAAATTTTTGTTATACCTTCATAATAAGATATGTAGAGATATAAAGAGAAAATATACATACTGTGTGAGTAAGTAACTCTTTTGACTCTTTCACAGACATAACTTGCACTTCTCAAGAACCAGGAATAGTATTCAACACAGTACCTAAAGATGTAGTTAAAATTAGGAGAGTAGAATCTTGTTATCTTTCATAAGTGTAATTGTACGCATATCATACTGCTAATAATGAATATGGAAACAAAAAGCTAGATCCTGACCTCAATTATGTCATTAGATACTTGGAAAAATTCAGCTGAGCTTTATTCACTCAGTCTGAATACTGGAAGCCAGATCAGGTATCGATTAGTGCACTGGGGACCCATTTGGTTCTCAGCCAGTAGCCACAAACTCTCAACAATAAGCAATGGTGATTGAAACTTGTCACTTGAAAAAAGCCTGATGGAGTATTTTAAGCAGAGAGGTTGAGAAACTAGTGCCAGGTTTTACCTCATGGCTTCCTTTCTGGAGTATCTTCTCTGTCCAACACAGAGACACAGCTGAAAGAACCTACAGAGCTCCATCACACAGGGATTGATCTTTTGCACTATTAGAGTGACAGGAGGCGAGGTCACACGGGACTCTTTGAGGATTGCCTGTGGACACCCTAGGAAAAAATACAACTCAGCTAGGTCAGATACTTGTCCCATTAAATTTCTTGCAATGCCTTATCAGGGCTATGAGAAGCATGCAGATTAATAAACTCGGGTAGGAATCTTAACATGAACTCTGAGTGAGGCAAATAACTGAAGAGAAAAGCAGCACACAGCCTGGCAGTTGCTTGAGTGAAGCACAAATAATCTGTTCAATTTATTATTTATAATCACTGGTGAGTTACTTAAAATCACGTTGCTTTCATTTACCACAAATGTAAGGAACAAATATAGAGATGGAATTTGTTTATTGTTTCCTGTTTAGGTGGAGCTGCAGCTGTCACTGAAGCATCAGTTTTCCACAGTGCAAAACAGCAAGACAAAGAACAGCACTGTACACTTACTGTATTTGCTATTTCATACACGCATATGCTACTTTAATGAAAAATTCACTTCCAGTTCCTCACGCTTCTCTACACCCACCCTCTAAATCTGAGTCCTAGATTAAATATGACTGAGCTAATAAACAAACAGACTGTCATTGCTCTCTCCATCACTTTTTTTAGCCTCATTAACAAAATAAACATGGTTTATGCCGAGGTTATGACTTTCTCTGTCCATCGGAGTTCCCCTTCTTGTTTCTAGTGACTTGAATAATCACCTAATTTCATCCCAGTCTTTAGGGCTGGGTAAAGATTGTCTGGATAAATACAGTCTTACAGGTCTCATGAAAACTGACAAGTAATTGAAGGAGAAAAGGTCAATTTTTGCCTGCACTGAGATGAAGGTAGGAATAATTTATCCATTTTACTATTTGTTTGCCAGGAGCCAGCTGGTTAATTGGTGTGTTTGTTTTTTTGTTTTGTTTTGTTGGGGTTTTTTTTTATCAATTGACCACCATTATATTATTTTAACTTAAGAAAAATGCAGGGAAATGGTGTGTCTGGGGATGGGCTCCCTCTTAACTAAAAGGAAAATATCTAGTTTACTCTATTCATTGAATCCTCTGCAGTCAGCAGCAAGAGATAAACATTTGCACACCAAACATTTCATCCCACCAGCAAATGCAGCTGTACCACACTGCAGAAAAAGCAATACTACAGAACAGGTGATGGCAGCTTATAACAAAATCCTGATTTGCTATGTGGTTTTTCAGTGTCTAATACAATCTCTCTTCAGACTCCCTTTATGTTACAGAAAAGAGAAAAGAAGGCAAGGTGAAAATGTGGGAAATTGAGACAACATAGGAAAAAACTGAAGCTTTTTTCAGGGCTTTTCTTCATCTTATGAAGAGAATAATTTAACATTTGCCATAGTCTTGCCTTCTCCCAACCATTACCTTCCACATATCATCTTGCATCTTGGGTAACAGTTGTGTTACAGCAGTCAGAACCAAAGGACTTGCAGCATTTACCAATATACTAAAAGGCTATCAGGGCATGGCTGAAATAGGTGTGTTACCATCTGTCGTTTGCATATTTAATAACCACGCTCAGAAGAGGAGAGGCTGTGTGTGAAGCCACACTTTGGGTCGCTGCAGTGATGCTGCCTGCCCTGCAAGGCATCACATCTGACCCTGGGGAGCTGCCTGCACACACACCGTGTTGTCCCCTGCATACAGCAAGTCTTCCAAAGGGGTGTCTCCCCTACACCAGCACGCTGAAAAATAAGAGACATCCCTGCAAACGCCATGCTGGGGCTCTGAAATGATAATCAGGGACCAGGCTGTGAGGGGGCACATTTTGCATGATGTGGGTGTCCCTCTGCATGCAGCCATTGGGGTGGAAGGGCCCGAACATGCAGAGCAAAGGCTGCTGCAGTGAGATTGACAATGTTTTGGTTTTTTTTTTTCCATTTGTGTAAGTAGCAGCAGGCTTTAGCCATGTGTGGATAAACTGCCTTACCTGCAGAGTATAATCCCCTTAGACAGTGTAATTGCATTTCCAGGTTCACGTGTCTCATATGCTTTCTAGCTTTGGGCCATCTTATGTTATGTGATAGGAGAGGTTACGGAGGTTAAATCTGGACTAATGAAGTTCTGTTGAAATATTCTTGAGTCGCCTAGCGCTGACAAGAAGTTTAATATAAAATGGCATTCATGGGCAAGAGGAAAATAAAGGCTCTGCCAACCTGAAAGAGATCACTATGAAAGTATTTCCCTTCTGCCTGGGCTTGCCCAAGGTAGCAGGAGTCATGGAAGAGTCATGGCAGACACTCACAGCTCCCAGACTCACAGGACCCTCCAAAACCAGTTGTGTGTCAAAGGCACTACACAAATATCCAGCATAATCAGTTGGGAATGGGCAAGAGGGAGAACCTATTTCTCTTAATTTTAGCAGCTTTGCATAAATGTCATTAGGCTTTGTGCACCTAATAGCCTTTGACAGACCTTGATTTTTTCCCACTCGATGTCAATTGAAAATTAATGATTTCTTGTCTTAAAAACACTCTTTGTGTCAATAACCATACATCAGATCATGATGCAATGAGGTTTTAATATAAGTTGTCCATGAAAAATAGTGTTACAGTTGCTGTGAACAGCTAAAACTCGGTACAAGTCATCCTCCAACAAATCTCCACTGATGTGGATACTTGCTATCCCACCTAACAGGTGTTAAATGCTTTACTCAAGCTATGTGTTTTGCCAGCAGAAATTCAGCTTTATTTAAATGTAAATTGAATGACTGCAATTTCAATTTGGATTCATCTGTTTGGGAAAGAGAAGTTAAATAAAAACGCTGAAAGTTAAACAAATTGCTTTGGTTTTCATTTCTGACAACCACTCAATTTTAAATTAATGCTGCATTTACATAAAACTATTTTTATGTAATGCTGAAATTTTCTTTCAATTAATGTGGCATTTAATTTTATTTGGATTGAATAGTATACTCACATCGTATTGCTGAAATTAAAATTGTCAGTGCTTCACAGTAGTGTTTTAAATCTCTTCTGTTATAGATTTCTACTGTGATATGTGTGGTTCGTATTCAATTTATAAGTTCCTACAGACTGGGACTGAAATTAAAAAAATAATTAGAAATAGGAATTTATTTCAGAACCTTCTTTTGTAAGAATTTTTTCCTAAGAAATCAAGTCAGTCAAAAGAGGTGAGAAAATGCAGGAATCACAGCTCCCTGTGCAGAGCTCTGCTCTTGTCTATTTGAAATCACCATGTTACTGTCACAGGCAGATAAGTGACCAATTCTTGCTGCAGTAAACAGACTTTTCCATTATTAACTCAGTATCACATCTCTCTGACACTGAGATTAAATTTTGCTGCCAGTGAAAAGAAATGTTAGTGCTACTGTGAATAATTCAGACTTGCCGTATCTCTCCCTGAATGCTTTAACACGCACACTTACATATTTTATCTGTGGGCATCCACTTTTGTGATTTCAGAAATTAGTTCTTGGAATAATGTCTCAGTCTTCAGAGCACTGTGGATGCCTTTCATTGCTTTGTGACCCCATTGTTCAATTTATTTCCCCAAATGCATGATTGATATATACAGGTAGACAGCCTCTGTCATTGTGGTTTCTGATAGAGAGCTATGTAGTGACTCTCCATTCCCTGATCTCATTGAGATCTATGTTTTTTCAAAATGGTCTGGTTCCCAGTCCTAGCTTGTCCAGGGTTTATACTGTACAAACTTCTACAAACTGTACTGCTCGCACCACAAGTTCAGTCACACACACCAGTAACTTCCAGCTGACTGGCAGTTATTTAATACTCAAATCAAACTCACCCAAAGCAAACAAGACATGCAGAAAACTTTGGGTTTGTGCAGAGTTTTTGATGGATGAGAATTACCATAGCATATGCCTCTGCTTCCAGTCAAGAGAAGAAGACCTAGTTCATCTTAAATTCTTCTCTTTACACCATCAAGAACGTCAAGGAGTCAAACGATATTCATGTGATATGACATCAGCTCATTTTCTTCATGCAACCAATGTATGTTGCAGAGGGCAAGATAAGGACTCTGGTATTTTGACCTCTTTAAACAGAAGTAAAATGAGAGAAAGATCAAAAAAGGGTATTTGGCTTCCTATCATCATGGTTTGAAAAGCCCCTTACATCAAGAACTACTCCTTAGCTCAGCACCAGTGAGTCTTCTCCTTGGAAAAAGTCTCCATAGATAGTTTTTTACTGCATGTTCTCAGGCCTCCCAGGCCACAGGTTCCTCCCCCTCTTTCCTGACACTGCCTTTCTTCAGGACTTGTGTTTGCATGATCATTTGATGTATCATCAAACTTTGCTTTTCATGGTCAGTATTTTTAACTCTGATAACATTATTTACTTCTGAAAATGGATGCCTCACTGAGTTCTATGATCTCAAATGCTTTCTTTTGTAATAATACGAATTAAAAGAAAATTTTAAAAGAAAGAAAGAAAGAAAGAAAAAAAAAGATTACAAGCATGCCAACATATACCAACTAGGACAGGACTGGGAACTATGAAAACCCTGACCAGAATCGGTGAAAGCTACAAAAACGTTATAGCACAGGATTCTGGTCTTGGATTGCTGCAATAGGCAACAACAGCAAAACCAAGAGAAAGAACAAATGACACCTACTCTGTGATTATTCCTAGTAACAGAAAAATTGAAGATTTGTGAAAGAACTTTTGTGTCTGACCCAAATATATTTACTCCCACAAAAAAAGTCCTTTACAGACAAGTAAAGTTTTGTTGGAATTCAGCAATGAGCTGAGAGAAGCTAATATTCAAAATTCCATTAGAAATGGTGGGATTAGCAGAAAATCCAGGCACGTAGATTTTGTCTGGATCCCAGAACAGGCAGTCTGGATTTTCCCTTCAAATACAACACCAATATGAAATCATAATCATTCTGATATGCTTTACATGCTAGTATCAATGCTGGAACATATACACCAACATATCCCTCAAATTCATTTCCTTAAGTACCACGCTAATGGGCAGCATATAATCAAGAACTGTGACACACATCCAACTTCAACTGTACCTTCCCTGCCGCTCCCAGTGTGAGTACTGGGAGCAAGGACACCAGACTGGAAGTGGAAGGACCCCAAGGGCACTGAAGATGTCTACAGAATGGGGTGCCTTTTACCTAGTTTTAGATAGCCATGATGCTGGTATCTAGAGCTGGACTAGTCACCTTCAGTCCCCAAGACTGGGATTTGTGGCTGAGATTTATTCCTGTTGTATTCCTGAGCTCTGCTCCTACTTTGCAAATTTAGGTGTAAATCGTCTGGACTCAGACACACAGCATCCAGAGTAGGTGTGGACTCTCCCACAGTTATGGCTCTCCGCGCACCCAGGGCTGCTTTGCCTATTGCTTCCCACCCTAAATCAACTGAACCCAAATAAAATTATATTTTTTTTATAAAAATTGGCTTAGTTTGATTACAACAAGACTCCTCTCCTGGCACTGAATCAGGTCATTTTCAAAGCATGTAATCTCTTACTAAATACCTGTAAGTGGAGTGGCACATCATCTTATATTAACTTTGAATTTCTAACTCTTTATTTCGGTGCTTAAAAGGAAGAACTGAGCTTTCCTGAAAATCTAGTTGATAATGAACCTTCTTTAGCTGAAGAGGAAGTTTGCAGTATTGTAAATTTAGGGCAATTCTGGAGATTTCATGTGACACAGATTGACTTAATAATTTTCTTTGTACCAATAGGGAGATTTAAAGCATGATACTCTCTTTCGGAATGGACAGATTTTAAGGTTCTCCAATAACCAATCCATGTTAAAATTGACACATAGAGTACATATGTTAATTATATCACCACAGTATAATTTATCTTTTGAATGTGTATGATTCACAAACAAATATAGAAGCAGTCCCTTAGACATTTTGGGCATTTTGCATATATAAGATATCACTTAAATAAAACATGTATGTTGTTTCTGCATGGGAAAATTTGCATATCGATATACTTTCAAGCATGCTACTATTTTTGCTGCATGAGGTGCAGCTACTTACTGGTAGCTGAGTAAAGTTTCAATGTCACACCAGGCCTGTAGGGTGGTGTAGCCAGTACTGAAGAAGGCAAATCTGAAAGAGGGAAAAGACATCTTAAAAAAAAAAAAAAAAAAAAAAAAAAAAAAAAAAGGAAGGTTGATTGAAAGAATAACAGAAAAAAACCCAGTCACAAACCACTAATAAACACTTACATAGACATTGATACATAAATACATTCACAGTCACCTATTTCTACATATATTAATGTCTACTTCATAAATGTGCCAAGTGATGCACGTTGTTATTATCCCAGATCAATCTCACCTGGCTCTGTTTGCATCACTTTGCTGGTTTCTTGAGGAGACACCATCTGCATCCAAAATGCATACCCACCGGCTATGAGAAGAGAAAGACATATGTCATTCAGGATATTTGCTATTTATCTGTGTATTGAGAACTGCTAGATATGAGACAGCTCAACAGCCGGAGTCCCTCACCCTGTACTTCCAGTGGCATATAAAAATGTCAAGATGAAAAAGGAAGGACAAAAGCTGTACTTTGCTAGATCTTGAAAAGTCCATGGGCTAGGGAAAGGTAGGACTTAAAGAAGGTGTGTTTAGTGGACACCAAGAGAAATGGCTCTATATTGCCTTTTTAAAAGTCTGCTCACTCTATTTGGAGCAAAATGTGAGTGAAGACCTGGGTGTCAGAGGTGTCTGTGAGGAGCAAGGCTGTTTTTCCCCAAAGTGAACAAAACTACAGATGAACTCTATAACTGACTGAAACACTTCTACAATAAAAAATTCTTCTCACTAATGACCCAGGATGGGTCTCCCAGAAGGGCCTCCCCACCTCACCCTCAGAGCTGTGGTTTCAGCTTTTACCCAAATGGCACGGCCGGTGGGGTCAAGCAGGAGTCCGTCCCCCTCAGCGTACTCACTGGGGCTGGGCCGCAGGGCTGGCCATGGGGCTGAGCTCTCCCCCGAGGCCAGGGGGGGTCCGGCCGTGCCTCGTGGTCTGGAAACATCCTCCTGCAGTGATGGAAACCCTGATCCTTTCACTCCAACTGTCTTTGGCCACGGTGGGAACCTCATGGTGGGCGTTTCCTCTCCTTTCAGGGCAAGAGGGACCTTGGTAGCTGGAGAAGGAGAGACAGATGGGGGGCACCAGCAGTGCACTGTGGATGCTGATGCCCCATGGCAGCATCGAGCATAACAAACTGGGGGCAATGATATCTAAAATACACCCAGAAAATCCCATCTATCCCTTGAGTGCTTCCCCTGGCAGGTGAGCTGCCACCTCTCCATTTCATTTTAAACACAGAAAAATGGGGAGTGCTATTAATGTTTAAAATTTTAACCAAGAACATTTTAATGTTGAAGTTTTCATCATCAACAACAACAAAAAGAAAGTGAAATGTGGAGAGATGAAGCTGCAGTGATGAGAAGGTATGAAGTCAAGGTCTGAATTTCTCTTGGCTTCTACTGTGTGTGAGCAAGTGTGAAGCCTTGCTTCTTGGCTTTCAAAATGAGGCAGACTAGCACTTTTCTATATTATAGTCTTGTGATGAAGCTAAATGCACTGAAGTTTACAAAATGCTCAGTTACTCACCACAGCACGTCATGTAAAGTCAAAGACAGAGAAAAAAATTGACAATATAAAGGGAGAGGAAATAGTTTCAACAATAATTTTTGTTGTTTAAAACCAATGACCATTTTTTCTTTACTTCTTCATCTCTTTACAAATCTTTTTCTAATAAAATTACTTTTTACAATACTTTTTCTATCCTCGCTGTTCAGTGCATTACTGGCCTGATCTGCTGTTTTGGACACACTTTTATCTTGCTCTGTAATTGTAGATCAGCATTACAGTGCTGTGCAGCAAACACACATGATCATTTGTCAAGACGTTAATCAAGGAGAATATAAATTTGATCTGACAATATTTGCTCACTTTTAAACGTCCACACATGTTCTGCTGATGGATCCACTGTTCTGTTTGGGTCTTCCTGTAATTTCACGAAACTTGAAAAAATCATATCTAAGTCTGAGGTATGAGAAGATAGGGTTAGAGCACTCACCATTCATTGCATACTGCATGATAAAAAGGAAAGAAATCAGGTTCTGGTATAATAGAAACAGCTGTTGTGTTTTTTAATTAAAGTAATTTTTTGCAAATTACCGGATCAATTTTTTTTTTTTTTTTTTTTTTTTTTTTTGTATGAGGGAGAAGCGTCCTGCAGCTTTCAGCACAGGTAAACTTGCCACTGATTACACTATTTGCCTGCTTTAATCAAGTATTGGGAATGAGAAGTAGCCATGGGCAGCAATGAGAGGTCAGCATGGGAAGTATGTAAAGTACAGCTCAAGCTGGCAAAGCAGTTTTGGGCGGAGGAGCCACACAGCACTCTACTGAATATATTCAACTTCTTTCTGAAGGGAACTCACATAAAGGTAAGAGGTTATTTGTGCTGAGAGCTGAGGAAGACACTGTTTAGATTAAGAGCACCAGGGAGCCTCCCCAGTCCAGTGCTGAATTCTGTAAAAGCTCTCATCCCAGAAGGTTTTGTTTGCTCCTCCACTAGAAGACTTTGTAGCTAACAATTTAAAAGTTTGTAAATTTTGCTTATATTTCTAATATAAATATTATACTGTACTTAATATAAAATATTTTCTAGCTTAATGATAATAAAATATATAATTTGTACATATATACATATTGATAAAAATATAAAATAATACTTTAAAATATTTTTACATTATGAAGATGGAGTATTCATTGCAAGTGCTACGTGGACATGGTTTTCATTGTTGCTGCTGTTTCCTTTTTTTTCCTCAGGATGTACTTACCCTGGTCAGAAGATGCGTTACTGGAAAACGTGTAATTAATAACAGGAGACTTCTCCAGCACTTCCCAGAAGTCAGACAGATTTCTCCCTGCAAATAGAAATGTTTACAAATATCAAGAAAGGGTTGCTTCTGGTCTAAGTCATCACTGAGAATAAATAGGGCAATATTTTGCAGTGGAATGGCTTTAACTTTTACCTGTCTGTCCTGTCATCATGCAGATGTAGATACAATCTGAATCATTGCTCTGACGGACTGAAATGGTAAAAAAAAATGTAAACCAGATCATTGTTACCAGTTTTCATTATGTGATGTTATCTTAAACAGTTGAAAACACAAACACAAAATGGTATGTGGCTGCTGCAGCTGGCCAAATATTTTCCTTCTGATCTGATTATAGACAAAATCCTAGAACCAGCATCAAATCCAAATGCTAATATTTCCAGGGGAAATATTTCTATCTAATTAAAATTCTAAGTTACAAGTATTTTTACACCGAAAAAACCTCTTCGGATAATATACCCCATAATTATTCTTTGGGAATCATAATTCACCAAAATACCACTATTTAATAATAATTCACCAAAATTTCAAACAAAACATAGCTGCTCATAGAAACATGTAAGCCTCTATATTATATATATACACATTATATATGTATCTTGTTCCTCTAAGGAGACTTTGTTTATAATTGCAGCCTGTGGTTTGCAAGAAAAATGTTGCTGAGTAAGAGCAGTAGGCTTTTATATACATTTCTATGCTTGTTTCCATGCCAGGAATAAATCAGACAAGACGACAATGATAAATGTTAAAATGAAATGCAAACCTGAGAGAATAGAGGCAGATTTGAAAATTTCTGTGAGGTAACTCGTGGAGTTTCCAATAATATCAACAAGTAAAGCTGTAAAATCTAGACAACAAAATAGACAAGGTTTATGTTTGAAAACACATATTCTATCATCTGTGCTAAGTCAAACAATCACTTTTATATGTGGTCATAGTTTGGATATATGCTTGCACATGACAATGTTTAAAATGTTTTAAAGTTCAAAGTATTTCTGCTGGATGGCAGACTTAAGAAGCCACTGGAATACTCTGCAGAAATACATTTCAAAGGTGATATCCAAACCAGCACCAATGTGCCTAAAAGTAAACTTAAATGGAATTTATCTGTTCAAGAGAACAATTTAAAGTAGAACTCTTCTTTGTCTGCTTAAATGTAGAAGCAGATCCAAAGCCTGCAAGCTTTGTCTGCATTGCCTATGTGCCATGAAGGACCTTCCAGGAGGCATCTCATTGTCTGTTCTGAGGTCTACTTCAGACATACCAATGATGCTGACAGCTCAAAAAATGGCTAGTGGTGGTGTGGTGTTACGATTTTTTCATAACAAGTTCTAGCATTAACAGATCAACATTCTCACTTAGGGAGTGACAAACATGAGTCCTGTGTTGAGCCCTGAATTTTTACTACTTGAGGGGATGCTCTAATCACCAAGATATTCTGGATTTGGTACAGAAAGATTAAAATTTCTCCCTTATCTTCCAGGACAGACTGGTTCATTATGCAATAAGGCTTGTGAGATGTGTGAAAAAAGCCATGAAAACCATTGTGGCTCATGTGTGGGCTCATCACGTGCCGCTTAGAGGGTGTGGGTTCTGGTCCCTAGCTGCTGAGCTGCTCTTGGTATTGACATTAACCAGCCATAGAATCCAAGTGCTCAGAAACATCCTGGAATGTTAAATACTGTGGGATCATGGGTGGGAATGACTATTATTGGAGAAGGATTTGCCCAATAACATTTTACACTCTTCACAGAGATGTTAATGGATTAATCCTTGCTTTTCACTCCTGTTGGACTCATTGAAATTGTTGGAGTCTACTGGTGCGGAGAAGCCCTTGTCCGCTTCCTGTGGGTTATCTCAGGAGAGCAAAAGTGGCTAAGGTAGTGCATCATGCACAGCTGGGTTGTCTCTCCTGTGCTGGTCTTTGTATTCTGAGGAGGAAAGGGAGGTATTTCTGCTGGGTAACCCACACCTGTCACTTGACTGATGGCTCAATCCCAGACTGGCTGGCTGGGTGCAGCCTTCTGAGACTTTCACTGAGTCTCCCTCAAGGTTCAGAGCAGCCACTCATCGTGAGTTACGGCTCTTAACCTCAATATGGTGATGCTGTTCATAAGGATGAAGTCTGCAGAAGTCAGGCTACAGCTTTCAGCTCCAAAGGAAATAATTCAGCTTAAGCACACACAATTGCCAACCTCTCTTGTGTACCCACCTGCCAAGTCATTTGTCACATTGTTCAAACAGTAGCAGTAATGCATAGGGAACTTGCCAGGGTCAACATTTTTCAAGTTAGAAACTGTAGGGAGAGGCAGAGAAATATCAGTATCTTGATGCACAGGATGTGTGAGAGAAAACACCCTTGTGGGGAGCAAAACATCAAGGCACTCACTGTTGTAAATGGTGACTGAGACTTTGTGGAAGGCAAATGAGCTGTAAGATGTGACGCTCAGCAAAGAGAAGAATTTTTTGGTACCTGCAGAAACACATGCCCATGGTGCTATTAGTGGTAGGCACAAAACATGAGAAGAGCATGCTTTGACTCCACTTATTTAATTTCTAAAAGACTCCTGAGGTGCTGATACTGTACAGCTGCCTGAGATTCAATTCTATCTCATTTCCACTGGGAGCAGGATAATTTCTATTACTTCTTTTTTAAATTTTTTAAATTATTTTTTTTTTCATTCAGACCTACATTGGATTATAAAGTGTTTTCTAAAGGCATCCCGTAAGTAATTATGTTGTGTCTATATATAAACACTAATTTTAAAATTATTTGGGGCAGACTGTTATAAATGCACAAGGGTAACATGCTCCTAGAATTAATTCTGGAGATGGACAGCATGCATTTATGGCTTCTTGTGCTAACACCACTAGCCCTTTATCTCAGTGACCGCCAGGCTGAGAGCCTGTATGACCTGCCTGGCTTTGGCACGTTACCTCTGAGTGCTGTGTTCAGCATGTTGTTCACCAGCTCTGTCAGGTTAATCGCAGCCAGATCCATGGACTTTGCAGGCAGCTCTGAAAAAGAAGGGTCTCTGAGCCACTGGCTGCACAAAGGTACAAGGAAATGGCCATTATTTCCCTGCTTGTATACGGAAAAAAAAACAGAATAGGAAAAGCAACGAGCAGTTTATGTATTGGAGTGTACTGAAAAACCTGGGGTGAGAAAATAAAGATGCTAGGAGTGCATCCTAGAAGAGAGGAGTCTGGGAAACAGCAAGATAAAGTGGGCAGTGCAATTGTAAGCCAACAATTTAGGTCGAGCTTTACGTCACATATTCCCTTGAGCATGCCCTTGTTCGAGCTGCCAGGGAGCAGAGCCAGTCCTGGCGTTTTGGTGCCCCCTCGTGCTGGGCAGTGGGTATTTACTGCCAGAAGAGATGTAGATCTCTGCAGATCACAAACGGAGGAGAAAATGCCTAGGAAATGTTCCCCCTTCCCAAGTGCTGCTTAGAATTGGGATGAAAATACAGATTTTTATTTTTTTTTCCAGCTACCTCGATGGTTATACTGGTTATACTGCTAGGTTATACTGCTAGGCTACCTCGATGGTTATACTGCTAGGACTGCAGCTGAATCACACTTTTTCTTTTAAGAGATTTTCTTTGTGTTGGCATTGCTTCTTTGTTTTTCCTGTCGAAATTTCTGAAGATGTTCATTTGCTTCCCTCCCACGAAGTCATGCAGAAGCAAAGCAGTATGGTGTCTGTGTGTGTACGAGAAGGAAGGTCTCTGTGTGCGTGACAGAGAGAAAAAACAGAGCAGGAGGGAAAAAGGGGCACAGAAAGCCAAGATGAGAACAATATTGAATTTTGGGGAAAAATAAAACTTCCCAATGACATCAGTATTATTTTTAACCAATATGAAACCAAGCTCCACCCTGGGGTTGGAAGCAGGGCTTGTCCACAGTATAGAAAAGTGGAAAGGGAAAACAAAAGAGAATGAAGAGCTGGAAGGAAAAAGAGAAAACATTTTAGACTTCTGGGAGGACAGAGGTTAAGCTTGCCATGGACCTGCATAAACCCTAGGTTGGGTGAGGAGCCCTTGCAGCAGTGGTGGGTTCAGGCTCACAAGCTCTGCAGGAGAGGGGCCCATCTGCTGACACCTTCGTGCCCAGCACGTATCATACCTCCCACTCCTATTAACACCCCACACAGTCTCCTGACATGCTGCGTGTTACCTGCGGTAGCCAGCACTGCCACTTGCTTGTCTTTCTTGTTTTCTCTTCTTATGCATGAAACTGTGAAGTGAAGAAAGAGTCTGAGAAGCTGTTTTTTCCCTGTTGAGATACCAAGCAACTCTCTGTTGAGCTCTCTGCCTGGGTTACATTGCTGCTCTCATTCATTATAGCTCAGAAACTGATGGCCATCAACACTGCAAAGCAGGCCACTAAGTATCCACAACAGCAGTTCATCAAGTGCCTAAAAATAAGGATGTCCTAAAGGACTTGCCAGGTCCTTTAGCTGCCAGCTAATAGCAAGAACCAGGTTAAATATCTGACCTTTCGTCCTTAACTCAAGAATCAAAAGGAAAGAAATGGTTGTAGATAGAAATAGCTGCAAACTGTTGTGGAGATCTGCACTAGTCTTGCACACAACATTGACTGCAAGGAACATAGTATAATAAAGCCAGATCTAAACCAAGCTTCACAGGCTGTGTGTATGTTTGTTATTCAGAGCAGTCATTCAACTGAGTACTGTTCTCAGGAGCTGTGTTGCAGGAGGGATGAACTGGAGCTGGGCTCAGGAGATTGGACTCGCTTCCTGACGTTCCCTCAGTGACCGACAAGGGCAAAGTGCAGAGCAGAGATTCAGACACTGCAGGACAAGGTGAAGTGCAGCAGTTTGGTGCTTAGGTTCCCTATCCCATCGGTGGAGAGCTGAGTGCCTCCAAAGAATAATCCAAAGGCTCCCCAGATAAACCAGTGCTAAACTCCCATGCCCCTCTGAAGCTTAATCTCCTCAGTCTGTCCAAGCTCCCCAGAGAGAAGTTCTCTCCTGGGAGCTGGTGGTGAGGAGGGCTTGCCTCAGTGGTGGTGATGCTCCTCACTGTGTTAAAACCTAATGGGCAAAGATCTCACCAAGGACTAGGAAACCTGGATTCAGCTTCCTCTTCAGTAAAATGAAATCTGCAGGACTGGAAGCATCAGATTAAAGTGGAGACGTGACTGCATAGTCTGGCTGTTTGTACCTAACTTGGAAAAACTTGGGTGCTTATCTCTATTTTTACAAAAATCTGTCTTGTACAGAAGATAATCCCTGGATACATTTATCTTTCTCCCTCTCTCTGTCTCTCTCTCTATATATATATATATATTAAAGGAAAAATACTCTACAGACAATCCATGGTACAAGGCCTCCTCATGCAGTGCTAGTCAGCTATATTAACAACTCTCACTTACTATGCGCTACAATTGGACTGACAATCTGGGTGGGAGGAGCTCTTCTAATCCTTCTCTCCCTTTCCATCTAACTCCAGATGCACAGCACGGGAGCCAAGAACTGACCTTTACCACCATCTGGTCTGCCCTGCTGCATGACACCACCCCTGGATGTCTGGCCCATCAGCCTTGGGTGAAAAAAAGCAGGGTGAAAAAACAAGACTGCCACAGATATGGGAATGGGGCTGTGGGAACAACTGGGAAGGAGACACTTGGGTTATTCCCTGGGGACCCCAAAACCAGCTCCTTACCTGTGTTGAAAAACAGAAAGAGACACAGAAATCCCAGGCTCATCTTCACTGACACGTGCCAGCAGAACCACTGCATTACGGACTCTGACTTCCAGCAGGTTTAGCTGTTCTAGAAGAAATCTGGTGGAGTTAAAGTTCTCAGTATCGTACAGTTTTGTCCCTTCTTATCCCAGAATGATGTGACCATGAGAGAAATATCCTGTCAAGGATGTGGAAAAAGATTGACATTGTAAATAGCAAAGAATCAGAAATCACACTAAGAGCATTTTCCATGTATGTGCAGGTCTCATAAGTTTAGTGTGTAACTCTTAATTTCTGAGTCCTATGTAACTGTGTCTTCGGTGGGATCTGGTAAGGTTGTCTACACAGTCAGCTTCTCTGGCAGGATGACCTGGGCCCAAAGCACACTGAAAGGTCAGATGCCTACACCCTTTCTGCTGAAACAAAATAAAATTTACTTATGTTCAATTTCAGACCAGGTATCAGCTGAGCTCTCTTTCTGTGGAAATGTTGCTTGCCGAGTCATCCTTAGTTTTGTATTTCTATAGTTAATTATTGTCACCAAGCTATGGCCTGTGTTGCCTTGCCTAGTTGCCTGGGAGGGATAAATGGTCCTCTGACTTTCAATGAGCTGCTTTCCAGGTTTCAAAGACTTGATTAGAGGCAGTTAGAAAAAAGGAGGAGAGTCCTTGCTACTTTACATGTTTCCCACTGACTTTGTAATACCAGAACATGTCAGATAGCTCTGTAGCTGTCAGAAAATGAGGGAGAGTATGAAAATAAGTAAGAAAAAAAAAGTCCAAAAATTTTTTTCATATCCTCTTGGAGTAGTTAATCTTGTGAGCATGCAGCAAACCATTATCTTGAAGACAATACTGTTTGATTAACAAAGTATTATCATCATGTTCTTATATTTAATTCACTAGAGAGCTAACACATTCTGAAAATAGCTAATTTGTATTTAGCAGTTCTAAAGAGACTTTTCCTTGGGATGATGAAATGATACCAAGCATTCCTGTGTTTGAAATGTCTGTGTTTGCTCATCTGATGAGTCAAAAACATTTAAATGCCAGCTCGGCTAAATCACACAAAGCTCTGAGAAGCGTTTTAGGTAGTTCATCCTGACTATTCAGTCAATCTGCCTAATCCCTTTTACCTGACCCTAAGCCTATACTCATCCACGGTTTCTGCACAGCATGTACAGTAGAGTGGGACCGAGGCAGAAAGAAAGACGTGGCCAAACTGCACTCACCAGACTTCATGCTCCACCACCTCCCTGTGAACTGGACTAATTATGCATGGACAGAGTCCAGTGTCCTGTGGAACAGTCCAGCATCAAAAATCCTAAGCTTGGCTCTTCTTGCAAAAATATTTGGGATCTGACCAACAATTAAGAATACAAAACATGAAGGTATTGCTGGCTTGAGAATCACAGGGCCTGAAACCCCATCAGGGCTATCCCTGCTTCCACTAGCCGGTATTATGAAACTTACTGGGACTTGTAACAGCTTTTTGTATGAACCTGTGGACTCTGTAGTTAGGGGAGACCGTAGCATGGTAGCTCAAGCTTGCCAACATGCTGATGTGATGGAAGCAGTGGTGATGTAGTCTGCACTGAGGTAGGTATAAAACTAACCCATGCTTATGGATTCTGCACAATGCTGTATTTTTTTTTCCTGCTCTTTGCTTTGACTGTATGAAACGGAGAGGAATTAGTGAGAAATACTCCTCAGTAGCGTTGAGTTTGAAGAACTGGTGCTTTGCAAAGGTGTGAGGAGGTGGCTGCTGGGGAGAGAGCAGGTGCTGGGGTCAGCTGGTGTTGTGGGATGGAGAGTTGGATGATCATGTCAAGTGGAGGTTTGTAACTACCTATGTTTTGGAGCAGGAGGGCTATAGGGGCTGGTGCACCCTGTCAATTCAGTGTCCTTTTAAGGGGAAATTGTTCTGTCTTTGAGCAGGGTCATCAGTGGGGTGATTTGCAGGTTTTTTTAATGGAACTTCATCAATTTTTATTCCTGTACTATGATAAGTGAGTCTCCTTAGCTCTGGAAGACCTATGTTATGATGAGCCGTGATTCATAGTGATGGTTCAGTGTTTATGGGTCATAGACCTCCCCCTCCGCAAATTCCTCATGACATGACATAGAGTGTGATCAGGCTGCACAGCTAGTGCTGTCTCTGTGTACACTGCCCGAGGGAAACCAACAGCCAAAAGCAGTGCTGCCACCATACTGTCCCTGTGGCATAAGGCTCTTCTTGGCTGGAGGGTCACTGATGCCCAGATGGACAAAGGAGCTCAAACCTCTGACTTTCATGAAGATTTTGCCTGTGTGGTGAGCAAGAGACTCAGACCTAGGAAGTGGGAGGTGAGGTCATCCTCTGTCACACTTTGTCTGCCCCTACACATTGGTGGTCATTGCTCAGGCCAATGTGCGGAGACTTGATTTCCAGCGCATACTTTGAGGAACATGGGCTCTTCTGGGTCACAAGTGAATCGCGCTTGGACTAAGACAAAAATCCTTGGTAAGAGTATTTCATAGACTGATGTGCAAGCACAGCTGTTCTGCAAAGGTTCACAAATAGAAGGGATGATAGACTGTAGATAATTTCCTAGCAGGGATCTAGCTTCATTACTCATTTATTTAAACTGGCCCAGAGCTGTTCATGGTGACAGGATGGGAAAAATAATCCATCAGAGGACTCAGTGCAGCAGGCTAAGGCAGGGGCTAGAGAGACCACATTCCCAAGAGGTAGAGAAGAGGCAAGAAGATTGACACATGAAGGAACTGTCCTGCCAAAGCATCTTAGGAGAGAGAGAGGGGAGGAAAAAGCAGTTTTAAAAGCAGAAAAGAAAAAAAAAAAAGTGAGATACAAAGTTGTGCTTGGAAGCATCATATACACATTGAGAGATGCTTTCTTGCTCACCTGAATTTTCAGCTCCCTGCTGTCCTCCGCTCTGAGCTGCTCCTCCATACTAACCAACACATACAATTTTCTCTGCATATGACACTGATTTGCAGCAGGAATTGAGAGCAGGCATTGCATGGCCACAACACCTGCATTTAACTGAGGTGTGATTGCATACTACAGACTCAGTCGAACCAAATACCTGACTATTGGGACAACATCCAAACCTAACATGGAAGGACAGGTCATAATAAGCCAAATCCTGTTCTACTTGCAGCAAAGAAATATTAAATAATGTTGGTATAAAATGAATGTAAAATCCTCTGTTCATGGGAGGGTTTGTTTTGCCTGAATGCCAGATTTAGCACTGTAGCATCCTCTGGCCAGAATAAGATGCTTAAAAAGAAATTGCAGAGAAATCGCAATACTAAGAACATCACCCTAGGAAGGACTGCCCTTACTCATCAGTTGGTAGAGACTGTCTTAAATTTGAAGCATTAGGTTTTAGCTGCTTTCCAAAATATTTTCCCAGAAATAATTCTCTGAATATTTATGCTGTTCAATTAAATGTCAAAGCCATCTGTGACAAATATTCCTAGAACTGCCACCTGAAATATCTTTCAGCAATGTGGATATCGGTAATATTAATTCTTAAGATACATTTGCACTACTCAGGTCTTCCGACAGCTGACTTTTATCTACCTGTGACAAGTCTTTATTACTTTGTAACTGTGTCTCTTCTGTTTGCCAGCATGTGACACTGTCGTGATGACTAAAATACATGTCCAGATTGCAAATGTGAAACCCTCATTGTACTCCGGCTCAAAATAATAATTTCCACTTCAAAACACAGTCCGATTCTCAGTGTCTTTTCAGGCACTGAAGGCAGAGGTGACACATCCCAGAAGCTGACTCCCAGTGAATATTTTCCTTCCAAACATTTATTTGATACAAGCTGCAGGTCAAGTCTTTTGTTACAAATTCTCCTTCACCTCTACTGGATACGATAATCCTCCTCTCATGTTTATTTTAAGCTGAATGATATTAGTGGAATTAATTTTACTTAGAACTGTTGATACAGAGTTCCCTGAACTGATGAACTGGAGCTTTAAATCCAGTTCAGATTACCTTTATAGACTCATGAAGACTTCTTATTAAATAACTCCTTGTCATTCTGGATTAACAGCAATTTTAAACCAGCATGTTTATTAGCTACGCTTCATTTGAACTAATTTTAATGTGTCAGGTAACCATGACATTTGAATTGGTTTAAATTTTCTTGTACAGAGTGCAATCAGTTTTCCTGTGTCTTGGTTCTAAACCAAGCAGAAGAGAAGTTAAGAGACCAAAGAAATAAAAGAAGGAAAGTCTTCAATATTAATTTCCTTACCTTCATTCAGTTCCAACATCTAAAGGTCATCTCTCATTTTAAGCACACCATGATACACCAGGTCTAAATAAATATTGCACGTTAACATGAAAACATGCCCATGTTACAGTTGTACACCACATTAAATTGCTACAACTACTTTTTAAGTTCAAATTTATTTGTATGAGAGTTTAATAAAATGTAATAAATGTACATTTAGTACAGATATATTTCATTCACTACATTTCCACCGTGCATTAATAGCACAATTGAAATTATTTCCTCCAAGTACACATGAAACCAGTGAGATTTGGAATAGTTAATATCAATTTACCTGATTTGTCTTGACAAAGAAGATTGTCTTCAGAGCCTATATAAAACTGGAGGTTATTGTGAGGTCTTAATCACTTTCTGAAAGACTTTGGGTAGACAGACTTGATTATCTTGCTTTGGAATCCTGTGAAAATTGGTATCCTAATCCCAGAAAGAAAACTAGAGGTAATGGAATCATAAGCACACAAAGTGCCTGTTGAATCCCAAACAGAAAGGCTCCGTGGCAGGTCAGGTGAGGACTAGAAGCTCCTGTTGGCAGTAATGACTGGAACTGCAGAGCAGAAGGGATTTTTTGCCTTTTAAAGAGACAGTTCATTTTACTGCAATTAGGCTGATGCCACCTTTGAAGGTAAGAGGTAGGCCAGGGTAAACCCTTTTGGTAAAACTTTAGCCATCCTTGGAGAAGCAATTTCAACAAGGGGCACTGTTGAGATGATGGAGAAGAAACCTGAAGTGTATCTTAAAGGTAGAAAATCAAAAGGAACAAAATGACAGATAAAATAGAAATTTGCTTGGCATTGTGGTTAAGCGTCAAGGAAGGGAGAGAGATCTGTTCACAATGATGTAGGGCAATTTTGGTGACGATAAGTGATTATTACACAGGACATGATCACTATTGGAAGCAGCTGATGAAATTCTGCTCCCATTTACTCCCCTGGACTGCAAGTCTGAAAATCAGTGAATTTAGATGCAACACTGTTAAAAGCAGATAACCATCCATTCAGTAGTTTTATCATAAACCACCTAACACCCCAATGTGTGAATTCATTCAAAACCTTGTAACAATTAGAGAGAAGAAACCTAAAAGGATTCATAGTCAGTCCATGGAATAAAAAGTATCTTAAGGATCTGCACAAAACTTCCACAGAGATATATTCTAACCCTTCTTAGAAAGAGAGATGATAAAGAACAGGTGGCAGAAGAGGTTCATGGGACAGCTACATACAAGCTGTGTGTTGGGAAAGGTCCCCAGCCCCTCCCCAGTTTTCAGACCTGGCTTGGGGAATATTGGAGCTACTGGTCAGGAGCACTCTGGAATTGTCCTTTCAGTGTCACGGTTCTACCACTACTATGGACATTTGGGTTGCAGGGCTTCCCAGTACTACTTAATTTATTATTGTAGATATTGCCTGGGTAAGTAATGTGTCATCAGGCCTGGTATGTTGTCACTTGTCTTTGTTTAACTGTATTGTCCCCATCTTGCACTTCCACCAGTTAAGGCAAAGAAAGCTGTGGTATTACTCAAAGAAGGAAAAAACTCACACAGCGGCTGAAACACTGCAACCTGCCCGCATGTCAGCTCTGAGAAAGTGATTTTTCTGGTTTCAGATTTCAGTCATATGTTTTCCACAGAAAAGATGTTCATGGGATCGTGTTATGCATGTGGTAGGCTGTGCCTGTGTCTGTCCTGCAATACTGTCTTCAGCACGGACTTCGGAAGCTGGAAGGCACTGCAGCCACATTTAACTGAGTTATGGCTGGTAAACACGATCTTACACATGTGCATGCACACACACGCACAATCTTGCCTTTGCTTCGTTTCACTCTGCCTTTCATGAAAAACACATTATCCAGTGGGATGCCATTGCGTCTAAAATTATGTAATTCTATATGGAAGTTACTTGTGTGATAAAAGGAAAACTTTTATGACCTGTGACTAAATGCTGCAGCTTGAGGAATATGGCAACACCTTTTCTTTGACAAGACTTACTTTTGCCATTTAATTACCAGTTGTTCGATATCTCATCAGGAAGGCTGGGATGAAAGTCCTCTCTGTAACAGCCGACAAAACCAGGTATAGCCAGGAAAATGTGTGCACTGGGATCAGTTCCAACCGTTTGATGTTCGGCTATGAGGATAATTTGACTTTCAGCAGGTTTTACCTCGTGCTGTGTTTTACCCTGGGACTCTGAAATTTTAACTTTCCTCAGCTGCAGAGCAACGCTCAGGTGATCAGGGAGGGGGCTATTGTTCAGCCCCAACTTTGACTCCTGGGGACAATGCCATGTTCTCACTCAGAGCATCCCTCTGAGCAAGTCACTTTCTCAGGAGTATAGTCTTTACGTGCCTCATTTTTCCAGCGTCTCTTTGTATGACAGCACTGTGTCCATAACTAGCATCCCAAAATCCAGAACAAGAAAAGAAGACATTTTTAGTGTCTTCTTATTAATACAGTATAGCTACATAATTCATATGAATTACTGAGTAAAAGCATTCATTTGCTGAAGTCTACTCAGGATAAGTCCCTGCTAATGCAATTTCAGTAAACACACATTCAAGCTAAATGCTTGTGACTTATCTAAGAGAGAGGACAGCATGGCATGAAGTTCCTCTAAGGAGGGACAAAACAAAGTCAGAATGTTGGTGCTTTATCTCTCTGTGTGCTGAGAACACGGTGGGCAAGTAATGCACTTCTTTCATGTGGCTTTTTTCTTAGACCTTTTAAACACACTCTTCTGTGTAGCAATTGCAATACGCATGAGTGACTCCAAGGGCTCCAGCCATATGTTCTTGTGACCCGAGCCGGAGTCAACAACCAACATCCCCTCCCACCCGCTCTGTCCTGCTCTGCCGGTGTCTTCAGGTACGACTACCCACCTCCCTGGTTGGGGTATAAACCATCTCTGCCCTAAAGGATGAGCTCTCACGCATGGAATACTGTAGTACCTAAAATATCTTACAAACCTACCTGTCTTATATGTTTAGTAGGAAAACACATACCCAGCTGTGCCTCTCTCTCATCAGATGCTAACATGCAATAGAAACTGAAGGACTGTTTTTAAAAAAAAGAGCCAGAGAACTTAATCCAAGCTTGTTCTAGAGGATTGAAGTTTTATCCTCAGTTACACTGTATTATACTACCGTAAATGTTTCCATGAAAGCACCTTTGAACAGTTGTTTATTAAACTCTTTAGAAAAGTATCAACTGTGTAAATTACTTTTTTTTTTTTTTCAGATTAGCCTGATTAGAATTCAACACGTCTCCTTTAGTCCTCTGCCATTACAATTTTACAAGATATTTATTTTATTTTATTGAGAAATATAATAGCTCTATAAAGTTTATTCTAATCTGAATTTCATTTCAGGTGTTAGTAATGTTCTTCTATTTTATTTTTGCACAAATTTCATTAAGTACAATTCTCCAAATGTAATAATGTTTCTTTGTTACTCTTCTTTTAGAAGAATACAACAAATTTCAACTCTTAAAAGGAGAATTATATATAGAATCATAGAATCACTTAGGTTGGAAAAGACCTTTAAGATCATCAAGCCCAACCATAACATACAGTCAAGTCCATCACTAAACCATGTCACTAAGCACCACATCTACACATCTTTTAAATACCCCCAGGGATAGTGATTCAACCATTGGAAGCATTTTCCAATGCCTGATACCCTTTTGGTGAAGAAATAAACCTTCCTGGTGCAACTTGAGGCTTGTCCTATCACTTGTAACTTGGGAGAAATGACAACACCTACCTTGCTACAACCTCCTGTCAGGGAGCTGCAGAGGGCGATGTCTCCCCTCAGCCTCCTCCAGACTAAAACCCCTCCAGTTGCCTCAGCAGACACATGCTCTAGACCCTTCACCAGCTTCATTCCCCTCCTTTGGATGCATTCCAGCACCTCGTTGTCTTTCTTGTAGAGAGGGACCCAAAACTGAACACAGGAATCAAGGTGCGGCATCACCAGTGCCGAGTACAGGGCTCAGATCCCTTCCCTGTCCCTGCTGGCCACGCTAGTGCTGACACAAGCCAGGATGCCATTGGCCTTCTTGGCCCCCTGGCTGGGCACACTGCTGGCTCCTGTTCAGCCGGCTGTCAATCACCCCCCAGGTCCTTTTCCTCCAGGCAGCTTTCCAGCCACTCTTCCCCAAGACTGTAGCATTGCCCGGGGTTGTTGTGACCCAAGTGCAGTACCTGTCACAGCCTTGTTGAAGCTCAAATATATATTTTTATATATAAATATTTATTTACTCCCATTCATAAAACTTTCCCATTCCAGGAAATTTCTGTAGAATTAAAAACAAATCCTGTCCTTTATAACATTCTTTTTTAATCTTTCTTAATAATATTTTGCTAAAATGGGTACTAACACCACAAAACCTCCTGAAAAGAATGAGCATTAAACTCCACAGCCATTGTTTGACTGTTTCCAGTAAGCGTATATTTGTCTATAGCAGTGAACACTTTTCTGTAAAGTGTCTGACATATATAAAAATTTTGCAAATTCAAGCACATTCTTAAGGAAGGGAAGAAAAGGAGAGAGACAGGAAAAAAAGGAGGCTTAGAAATTGTGAAAATATGTAGTGACAATAGGCATGAAGTTTTCACAGATGATGTGGAAAGACTATGAGATTCTTTTGCCATGTTCCTTTCCAGAAATTCACCTCAGCTGGGAAATTAGAAAGATGATGCTTCTCAGAAACTTTTTTTTCTGTCACCAAATTTTTGTTTCAGTTGCTTAAATGGGCCAATGTTTCTGTACCAGGGACACTCAGAATTTCATCAGCTTAAGATTGCCATTGCTTGCCCCACGGAAGATACATTAAGTGTATAAGAACTGAGTAGCTGGGTGTTACTTCATTCGTCAACAATATTGTTGGCATGTCGTGACAGGAAAAATGATGAGCTGCCAGGGCTGTTAGAGCAAAACATATTTAGAGACTCATAAAGCTTTGATAAGATAAAGAGAAGTTGCAGAAGTCCAGAACTTACTTAGAAAATATTTAATGATTTATCCAGTGCTGTTTTTTCTAATATAATATGTTAGATACATAACTGGTTCCATCAAACTTGCAAAAAATTTCCTAGTACAACTTAGATTTCCTTCTTTTTTTCATGATCCCTGTCCTGTATGCTGCTGATCATCTGCATCTGACACAAGGAAGCAGGAGAGAAGCTGCTGTGCTGTCCCAGCCCCACTGAGCTACCAGCCAGCAGGACCGTATGCCTGAAAAAATCATCTTACAGGGCAATTTCTTTAAAGACAGTCTAGCTCTTCTGCTGCTCTGTACCAGTGGACTTGGCTTTCCTGATTCCTTCCCTTCTATGTGATCCAAGAGGATGCTCCGTGTTAACCATCTGGGCTAGTTTTCAAGACTCTAAAAAGTCTTGAAAATCAAAGCATCCTGAGAAGAGAAAGATACACTGAGAAACTTCCACTCCTGACGCTGTTGCTTGTGCCATACTGGACGCATTGATATTTACCTTTTCTAAACTGTTAAGCTTTAGTCTTACTCTGCTCAGTCATGGGCCATTTATACCTGACCTCAGCAGTCCCATACAGATGCAGACAGCGCCTGCAGGAGGGGAAAACTCCCTGGATATAAGCAGGGCTTTGCCTGAGGATAGATATCACATCTTGTTCCCATTTTAGAATGCATTTCTTAAAAGATCAGACCCAGTGGCTTACTGAAATCCAGTTATTTGGCATGCTTATGTATTTGGGTGACAGCCAAGGGGAAATTTTACTGCAGTATGTTTCAGTTCAGGTGAACAAAAGCTGAGTCACCTATTGTCATCGCTGTGCCTGTCTGCATTTCTTTGCTAATGAATTCTGCTGTGCAGTTGCTCTTCAGTTCAAACTGGGACATTGACAGCTAAGTCAGTAATGGTAATATGGGGTAATATTGTCTATGAAAGGATGTGAATATATTTGAAGTACTTTTGTGGGTTTTTTTAGGGAATAAAGAAAATGTTAGTGTTGTACATAGTCTTTAGAGCTGTACAGAAAACTGAACCCAAGAGATTCAGAATGACAATCTCCGGTGCATTAGTTTAAAAAAATTCTGTCTTTTTTTGGAAAAAAAATATAGGACTTGGCTGTAAAAGCCTGTCACTGATCCTATTTAAACTGATCAATTAAAAAAGAAAAATACCACAACAAAAATATCCCAAAACATACTCAAAACCACCACAACTGGATGTTGTACTACTACAGGATTTTAAAAATTATTCCCAATTTACAGGGATATAGAAGTGGGATAAGAAACTGGAAAAACTGCCAAATAATTTTTTACCTACCACAAAAGTTTAAGAAATCTTTTTTTAGCGTTGCATTTCAAGTGTTGAGCAAATCTGGTTCACTGGTGACGATCATGATGCTGAAGCCACAGGGAATACATTAAAAATATCTCACTGGGTGCAGTGATATTTTTGGGAAGACGTGATGTGTCACACGCTTTCTTCCTGTCTCATTCAGGACAATTACCCTTCAGCCTTCTGTCTGAACTGATAGGATGGGCTTCATCTCATCTTGTTTAGCAACGTGAAAGATAACTTTTCATCCAAGCTGGTCATTTTCAACTCTATAGTTAAGAAAGATGCCAGTTAGAGACAGGCATCATCTGAGAGAGGCAGTCTGGGTCATGTGATGTAGGACTGACTGGACCATGCTCTGAAAAGTGTTGATTTTCCTCCACTCATTGTGAAAAGGGTCTAAGAAGAACAGAAACTGATACATTTGACTTGATGTTGAAATGTTACACGACTTCTGTCACTCAGACAAATCAAACCCTCTCATCCACACATGCTGTTTAATGTATCTCTCCTTGCACACACACCCCCCCCAATCTTCCTGCAGTGCTGTGAGACAAGCAAATCTAGTTATGCACATCTGCATGCACCCTCCATGGCAACCTCCAAACTAGCAGCTAGGAGAAAAAACTCTTCATACCCTACCTAAATCTATCTATCTATCTATCTATCTATCTATCTATCTATCTATCTATCTATCTATCTATCTATCTATCTATCTATTTAATACTATTAAAATGATATCCCCAGCCAAAACCACAAACAGAACTCTTTTTTACAAAGATGTTTGAGATGAATTTTCCTCAATAACACTGTCCGTGTAGAAGGCAAGACATTTTAAATAATTCATTCTGTCCCACAGTGTTGCTGGGAGGCAAATGAGCAGCCTTCTGTGATTTTATGCATCAGGAAGACAGACAGAGGAAGATGTAAGGCCAAGAGCACACAGAAATGCAACAGAACCAGGGACAGAATTCAGGCAACCCTCTTGCCAAAAGTTAAATTCCTTGTAGAAGATATTTAAAGCAGCCTCATGCCATTACTATGTTCTCTATATATTAATGTGCAACCTCATAATGTTTTAGCACATTAATGTATGTATGATGTGAATGTGAATGTATTTTTCATAATATGAATGTATTTTTCCCTGGTTTTTATTTTCCCACACACATATGATCAAAGACATAAGCTACATGGCCACTAAATCAAAAGAAATCACAAATAATGGGATCTACTGTGTATTATAACAGAGCTAGCTGTGGAAGCCAAATAAAGCCTATTTGTAGCTACGGGTTCAGTCCTGCATAGATGAAGTTAAAAGGATCATTTCCAGTGTCTTTGCTGGGGGTACATTTGGCACTGTGTTCTCTGAATATGTGTGAAGATATCATGATATACATGAAAATAAATTCTTCCACATCATAATTGAAATTTCTATTTATTAATAAGTGGTGCAGTTTTTAAAGACAGAACATAAAAAAATCAGTTAAGAAGTATTGTTTGCATAATATATTGAAATAAACATATTAAAGTTGTTCAAATATTGGACAGTGCCAGAATATAAATTACACATACAGTTTAAAAATTACAATAAATAATATTATAAAGAGCACTAAAGGCCACTTGTATAAAAGTTGTGTTCCCTTGTCAGCCAGAATCTGAAAAGCATCTTTGTAGCATGGAGAAAATTTCAGTGAGCAAGGCACAAATACTAGTAATAATAAGATGCCATAACTAGAAAACAAAATGCAGTCGGCTATGTAACCTTCAGTCTCAGCGTATTCTTGAGGATGGAAATAGGATCCCACTTCCAGGATTTTGCTTCACTTAACTTTAGAGAGAAGCTACTAAAAGCTGAATTGGGAAGGATCAAATCTTACAGCCTAAATATTCAGAAGCAATAGTGATACCCAGGGTCTTTGTTCCCACAGTGTCCAGCTAAAAGCACTTGAAAATAGCCCCTTTTTGCTTTGTACCTCTAAAAACGGTCTTCAGAAGTGAACACCCACATTCAGTTGGGCTCCTGAAAAAGTGATATCACACCAAACCTGTGAGGTGCTGTAGAAAATGTAGGTCTGCAGGTCTTAGGCACCTAACGCTTAGTGGTGGGGGCTGTGGGGTGCAAGGAATCAAGATTCAGCTCTTTCTCACATGCTCTGCTCTAAGCAGGAAAAATCCAGTTCTTACACGAGCAGATGTGACACCCCCTGTAACAACTGGGCTCCCAGCAGCGCTTGAATTTACTCCTTAATCTGCATTTTCTGATTGTTTTAGGCTGTGATCTTGCAAACCGATTGGACCACGGTGCTCGCCTGAAGGCCACAAGTCAGCAGCCCCACTACACGCAGGTTCAGGAGGGAATTAGTTTGCGGTGTTGCTGGGCCACAATTTGAAGCAGAAAATTTTAAAACTATTTCCACTCTGAACCATAACATTGCAGCAAAGTTACAGATAAAATGAGAGCAAATATAGCCAAAGTCAGTTTAGGAACTTTTCCATCAATCTCTCCACATGCTGAATTCCCGTTTGTTTTGATAGGAGCCAGACTGATTAATTCAGTGCAGGGAAAAGCCAAAGCAAGGACAAGAGCCATTACCTGACTAGGTTGTTTTTAAAGGACCAACTCCTTAAATGAAGCATAATCCACATATTCTCTACCTGCATAATTTAACTAAACATTCACTTCTGCCTTAATGAAATATTCTGTTTGAATCTAAGGTGGGGAAGCTTGATTGATCATAATGCTGCAAAGAGAGGCACACAGCGTAAACACAGATTCACCTTTTCAAAAACTTCCAAATGTGTTTCATTTGTTAGTGACTGAAAAATGAGTGCAAAAATGTAGCTAAAAAGCATGTCTCCAGATCAGCCATGTCTTTCACAAGGAAATTCATAAATAAAGGCAGATTAGGACCCTATGCTGCTCCCAGTGTCCCAGTGCCTCAGTTTGAGGAGGATTCTTACTGACTTTGAGGAGAGCAAAGGAAAAGTCCCACACTTTTTGATTATGACAACCATCTCAAAGCCTGAAATGAATCCTTGGTCACTCGTAGGAGTTGAGTCAGCCAAGAGTGAATTTCAATGGTTAATTCTCTTTAATGTTAACTACATGTAAACAAATGTCAGTGTCAGTCTAGATACTAGGAAGATTGGACCCAAACAAAATTGAGAACTGTTAAACTGAAATGTCACACACACAGATGGAAGAAGGGAGACATCTAATCCATTCATAGTACAAAGCGTACATTGACCGAGGTGCCTCAGTCAAGTGAAATTGTGAATAATGACTCCTTGTATGTGGGGAACTTGTTCCCCAAAACAGGTCCTGACCTTTTAAACGTTGGCACGGTCAATAATCACAGATACTTTATTCTGTTTTGTCCAGTATCTATGGCAGGCACATAAACCGCCGTTCCAAGGTTGATGCACTCCCTGGAATCAATCTGAACTGGAGTCTGATGAAGTTTGTGTGCACATCCCAGATCATGGATGGTCTCTAGATCTCACCTTGCTGGTGACATTTTGGCATGTACCTGTTGTCAGCACAGACAGCAGAACTGATGCACACCCTATTTTTAATCCAGATGATGTAGCAGGCAGAAAGCTGCTAAGTACCTCACCCTTCTGGACAGAGGAGTGACTGGTTTCCGTGCAAAGAAGTGTCAGAAAAAATAAATACTAAAATAAACTATTCAGTCCTTCCTTGACCCTCTTTTTGTGACTCTTCCAGAGAACCCAGAGATGTGCACTGCAGAGGGTCTTGCTGAGCTTACCACCAATGCCTATTAAGAAGAGACAGACCTTATCTGGCCAGCTAGCACATCATTAAATATTTAATGATGTGGCTACAAATACCTGACCTGGTGCTTTGAGTTGTATACAGTAAATTGGTGCTTACAGCCCATAGAAAATGCTCACTTAAAGGTAGTTCAGCTCTTAAGTGTACACAATGCAGGGCAGCCCAAATCCACTTTTTGGGGGGCTGCACTCAGTGTGCAGGTGAAGACTTACCCAAGTCTCTGCCCTTGCTTGAATTTTCTTTTGCTATTAACATACTTTAGAATGTGGTGATTTATGGATTTCCAGCGAAGTTTAATACTGAGAAAAGATTGCCTTTATATGACCTGGCATGGGAGAGATTAGAAACCTGAACTGAAGAATCTGAGGGGGAATTGGGCAGGGAACTGCATGGCAGAGCCACTGTCAAAGACATTCGCAAACAAATTTCTCAGATTGCACTTGGGTTTTGGCTGCCTTGTTTTTTGATTGCACAGATCTAGAAAGCATTTTAAGAAGGGACAAACTCAAATGAAATCAGTAGGAATGCCAGGCACTTGACATATAAGAAAAGTGAAGCAGGCTTGTCTAGCATGCATTTACACCAGTTTTAGAAGAAGTCTAGCAATGTTAAAATCAGTTTTCACTCTTTTTCTTTCATTTATGATTATAAGGGTTAAATCTTACAAGCTGCCACAGATGTGGCACTGATACGTACTGTATCAGAAAGCCTGCAGCAGATGCAATACAGGTATTTCCAAGAATCACTGATGGCCAAAGTATTTTTCTCAATATGCCAAGTTATAATGAAATACACTTTTGTCATCTAGTTTTATTCTATTCAAGTTTAGCAATGGAACTGTACCAAACACAGATTATCTTTCAGGTAATGACTGTTTTGTCAATTAAGTAATTACCAAAATGGTGCCTCGTGTCATCATAGTTACTGGCCTCAGAACAGCTCCGTAGACTCAGCCCAGTCTTCAAACTGGTAACTGGTCTGCATTATTTACTCAAGTAACAACTACAGTTTGTCTTCCCTGAGGATTTGTCCCAGAAGGATGTATCATGATTTAACTGAAGAAGCAGATGAAGTAAGAAGATCCTAATCCTTTAGATGCCTCTTTAAATAGAGAAAAAAACAATTAAGATTAAGGCAATGCCTGTATCTCGAAGAGAATAGAAGCTTCCTGGATGAAATGACTGTTACAAGATGTCAGTGATACTGAGGAATTAAACATGAAGTTTACTACAGTAGGCAAAATCCAACAAGGTATTTTCCATTGAAGTGCACTCTATCCAAGCTGTAAATACCCAGTAAATATTGGGAACCCCAGTAAAGTGTCTCTTTTTCTTGTGCTCTGACTGTATGTGCTAAGGATGCTCACTTATGCAGCTGCAGTACAATACAAGCAGTCACTACAGAAAGTCCACTTTCTAACATCTTACGTGGGCCAAATCCTTGTGTCTTTGTTGTCCAGTGCTCTAGCCACAGTGGTGAAGTCATCGTGTGGAGTGACAGGGGTCATTCTCCACAGGAGGTGGGCATGAGCCATGGCGGAGGGGCTGCACCCTGGATCAGTGGGTAGGGGTGAAAGCCTTCCCACTGACTGTGATCATGTGACATTTAAGGCAGTCACCCTCTGCTCCGTTTGAAGTTAGTAGAAATTTGGTCACTATCGATAATTGAATTAAAGATGAGATTAATCTCATCCTAAAGCTGATTGTGTGCCTTGGTTCTTGTACCCTGTGCTCATCAACTGTACTGATTAGTTTTCCACCAGCTGTAAAGAATGCATAGCCATTGAACTCAACACTAAATGTCCCCTATTTCATGGACACTAGTGTTCACCCCAGATAAATCCTACACAGGATATTTGGACAGTCTACCTGTCCACTACCTGTATCAATTCTACATTCCCACTTAGTGGTGAGAGCTTTGATTCATTTCTTCCCTGTTCCCAGTATGTTGGATTTTTTTCCTGCTCTCCCTCAACATAATTTTCAATTCCCATTAAAAAATATTTGGCTGAGGCCTAGGGAGTACACATCCCTCTGTTGTTCAGGGACAGGTGACAAAAATGGTATTTGTGTATTTGTACCTTGATCTTAAATATGGCACGTATTCATGGATTTGGAGCAGTCCATTTCCAAGAGAAAGAGTAAACAGAGAGAAACGGATCCTGGCAGCATTTCACATTGTGAAACTCCCAGGGAACAGAATAGCAAAACTCTGTACACCTGAGGAGCTCAAAGCGCTTGGCAAATATTAGTGAATTGAGCCTTACAACCTGTGTATATGTACAGAAGTGTAACTCCCAATTAACAGATAGGAAAACTGAGGCACAGTTACATTATGCAGCTTACCTAGCAGCACATAGGTCAATAAAACAGTGGAGTGTATAAACCTGGAGTTCCCTACACTGAACAATCTTATTTTTGGAAGAGAAAAAAAATTTGGCCCCGTAAGTAGCAAGTAGTCTTAGCAAAAGATATTCTAAAGAATTGTAGTCAAGCTTTGAGCAATTTTATAAACAGTAGTGAAGATTTTCAAAGTAGTTTGAGGGATTAATATTTACATTTTGCAATAAATAAATAAATACCCATGATCAAACCTAGGTGGTTGATTTGATAATTTTAAATTCTACTCTTAGTTTCATTTTGACATTTTCTGTCATGGGTAGTTGTATAAGACATCACATGAGAAACATTTTGTTCACAAAACCTTTTCAGTAAGGTCATTTACTTTCACTCAGCTTTTCCCTGCTTTGAATATTAGACCCTCTTGGCTAGGTTGGTTAGAGATTGATTTACTTATATTGGAAAATGGATTCAGAAGTTATGTTTCCACAAAGGGATATTGCTCCTGAAAATATTTTTTACTTTGCTGCTCCGTTTACAAAATGTAGCAAGGACCACCATATCTTGCCTGTTATCAATTCACCATTGTTGTATTGAAGAGTATCAGATAGATATGTATCATAGAAGAAATCAGCTGTACCATTTATATAGGGTAAAGTCATGCAAACCATGCTCAAAACTAAGCTCCTTAGTTTTGGTAGCATGAAAAAAACTGCATTAGTAAATTGTATGAAATGGTGCAGAATGACTACCACTAATATCACATGCATCTTATGCAGCCATTGGTGTTTTGAACTAGTAAGCTTTGGGTGTAGAGTAAGTGAGATATACAAAGTATGCTTACATTACATGGAGAAGTCAACCAGTGACTGCCCCCACACGCACTTTTAAACTGGCTTATTTGAAGGGGTCCATATTGAATCTGAAATCCCATCTCCTGTAGACGACAAAGGCATGGAGCCACTTGGTGTAAAAGGGTCGGTGTCTGTGTCCGTTTCCCCCTCTGCTAGGTAGCGTTTCTCTCTCATCCACGCCGATCCCCCATTGGGGCCAAATGGGAAGTCATCTCTGTCTTGGGAGATACTGAAGCCACTTGGGGAGCGCTCAAGTTCCTCATGGTTGACGGAGAGAAGGGATAATGGAGTATCGCTGTCTCTTGTTAAGCTCCTTCTCTGTCTTGGAGATACCTTATCTGAGTAAGGGCTTTGTAGGTCTCCTTGAGAGTGGTAGCTAACCTGGGAGTCCATTAATGTAAATATAGGCAAAACTGTTGGCCTTTCTGCATACGAAGTTGAGGAAGGTGTGGCTTGCAGTTTGCCAGAGTTTTGCCCACCTATTGATAAAGGTTGCGAATGAGTCGTATGACCATGTGCTGAGAAACCATAAGGACTGACTTTGTTGACTGGAACCTGCTGGAAGTTGTAAGGAGTTTCGTGAGCACACTGCTCAGTGTATTTATATATTATTGTTTTTAATTCAGAATATTTGTTTTCTTCTCTCTTCTCCTTTGCAGGAGAAGCAGTTTCTTTCAACGGACTTATCTCAGCGACTTGTATTTGCAGCTGTTCCATATGATGCATATGCATATCAACAAGAAAATCCAGTTTCTTCCCCATGTCATTAACCTGAAAAATAGTAATGTTACGATATTGTCTCAAATCAGTTGTTCAACGGAAGAGTCAATGCTTCCATACATATACTGCTCCCAGCAATGGTGTGCTGCCATCTTAATTAGTCATGAAAGTATTTACAGTATAATCGTGACACTCCTTTGGAAGTTGGGCTGCAGTGGATGCCAGTTTATCCTCTAACTGCTCCAGATTAAGAAGATCTATCCTTATGAACTGTGCCAAAAAAAATTTCTTAGAATTGCTGGATATTTGGCAGTCCAGCATCCAACAGCAGTCTACAATGTTATGACCAATGTCATGACCATATGGTAAATAGCTATTACCAAAATACCCCATATGAAATCACCTTCACACGTAGACCTACTCTCTTAACTCTTAATAGTCCCACATCAGTGTTAAATATCAGGACTATTTTCCTTTCTCTTTTGAGAATACTTGTTTCTGAACATTTACAAAACATGAAGGGAACTGATGTGAATCAATGCCACTTGCCTCCATCTTAGTTATGTATTTAAAAATGAGAGTGTCTTGACTTGTGAAGTGATAGGTTAGGATACACAGAGGGCCTAAAAATACCTGTGGAAGCAACGCTTTTGAGTGCCAGGCCCTACAAAAGAAGGTGGTGCTCATAACAAAACACCAGGCATGACAAATATGGAGTTTAAAGGAATGAAAATGTCCCTTCTAAACATCATGGTTAGAGTCTTGCTGCCATATATAATGATATTGATTCATCAGGCTTCAGAATGCGCACTTCCCAGATAATTAAATTCTTTAACGAAAAACTAACAGCATAGTTTTGTGATCATTAGTACAAGATCTGTGTGAGTCTTGATCACCAACAGTACAAATCTGACTGGGCCAGCCAAGACCCGTACAGAATTCGTGTCATCTTTATCATTTCTGTACAAGTGCCTCAGCCTCCATCATTGTCATGAAATTACATACCTGTCGTTCAACTTTAACAAATTTGCCCATCATACTTTGGTCTTCAGTATCTGCTGTAGATGCTTTGGCTACATATGGATCATTTCTATAAAGGATGAATCACTTCATTAGTGTTCAGTTTTTCTTTGCATCACAGTAAGTATTTTATATCAGAACACAGAATTACCATCTTGGTGGTATATTCATATAGTTCCTTGGAGACCCATTTAAAAAAAAAAAGATTTAATTTAGTTAGTTATCATGCAAACAGGACCAAAAGTCTATTCAATGGGATTCGAATGCAGTTCTAAAATATGTAGTCCTGATGTTCAATTTAAAATTATTTGAAAAGATTTAAAGAAAAAAAAAAAAAAGCAAATAAAAAATTCAAAACGAAAGTGAAATTAGTCTCAGATTTGGTGAAATAATTTAAAGTTTATGAAAAAAGTTGAGATAGTCTAGATAGTGGGTCTACAGATGGACATGTGTTTTTAAATCTAATTCTTTATAATTGTCTTTGAAGACTGAATCTGAGTTTTTAAGGGTTTTTTTCTCAATTTGAGTAAACCAAATATTAAGTGGCAGAGACTGGAAATGACGAAAAGAGACAGTCTGGCCTGGAGATTTAGAGTAGATTCCTGAATAAATTTTCTTCTACGTAATTTTCTATTGCCCGTCCATCAGATGGACTAACTTCAGGAAGTACGAAGATGATCTCTGCTTAACTAAAGAACTTTGATTTATAACTTCATGGGATTTAGGATGGTCATTAACAAGTTAAATATTTCTCAAAAGGTTTCCAAACCAACCTCAAAGGTACTTCTGTCTTTCTATAACCCATGTCTAAGTCTAGAAAAACAATTTCTAAGCTCTTGTTCTTTAACATGATTTAGAACAAATATATCCTAAAAGTTTTGTTTTAACAGGTCCAGTTCTTCTCTTTCTGACAAAATTCAAAATATATCTGTGAATGCATCTTACTAAAGCAGAAACTATAACTAAAACTTGTCAGATGTTGCACATTGGGTTACTGATGATATCGACTCATTCAAATTTTGCAATCTGCTTTGTTTCCCAAATGATCATTGCCTCTTCCATATATGTAGGTCTCTGTCTTCACATTTACATGTTTTTAGATTTTTCACTGGGTGGAATAAACCAGATAGAGCCAAGTTAATTTATTTTATGTAAGATTACTTTTGTTCTGAGCAACCATAACAGCTTTGGGGACAGATTGTTGATGGTCTTGTGTGGTTCTTCATGGGTATTTATTGACAGATTGATAGTTGTAAATAACAGAAGAAATGTCATTTATTATTGAATTCTTGCTACCAGGAATGCAGCAATACAACTACACGCTGTAATGTTCACACCCAGAAACCTGGTATTGTGATTTATTTTCAGTAATTCTCCTCAATTATTGGTTTTAAAGCAGCATCATTAAAACTCTGTGCTTACCATTTGTTGGGGGCTATAACAAAACTTTTTCCACTTCAGGAAAATAACTGGTTTACCTTCAAACTACTGGTGATTCTTATTGATTTTTTTAAGTGGGTTTACTAGTTGAATGTTAGAAGTTCAGCACATCAGCAATCACATGTATGCATTTCATGTAAAATCACATCTCCAAAACACTGAGAAGTTGAGCTAAACAATTAAGAACCCATTAAGTTTAGATTTCCATCATACATTGTTCTTAGGTAAGCTAGTCTCTTTCTGGCTCAATTTTTACACATATATATCTTGTAGCAACATACCCTCTCAGTATCATTACTATAACAGTGTGCTAGCTGGGTAAGGGTAAACTTTTTATTTCTTTTTCAGTCTGTGCAAAATACTAGGCATAAAAAGTTCACCTGGGAGACTGTTGTGAAGGGTAAGAAAAAGCTCCTCCCTTTTGGGATTTCTTATGCTTGGGTGTAGATGGAGGTCCAGGCGTAAAAATCATATCTACTCTGAAAAAAAGAAAAGTGCAACTGCATAAGTCCATCTCTAAATTGTAACACATGATAGAAAACTCTGTGCATCTCTGCAGCAAACAGCAATAAAGATTAAAAAAGGAAGCACATTCTGAATTGGTAATATATTGAAGGTCATGACGTGTTTGTTCTGTTCTGGGTCCACAATCAATACATTGAATTGTAATTACCTGGTAATTTCATGGTAATTAAGTAATTATCTAGCTCTCTGTTTCCAAACATTGACATTTGAAACACATGGCTTCATTTCTTTCCAAGGAAATAAATAGCATGATTGTCAAAAAACCCTCCAATAACAGCTGCTCCTAAACCCATCAGGTTTTGTGCTGGATACTGGAAATCAAAATTGGCAAGAGGTGGCAATTCTTGATACTCTTAATAAACCAATAACTTCTTAGCAGTTATTGTGCCTAATTATCAGTATTTTGTTTTGTCTTTACTAATTATTCTTTTGATTTGAGAATTATAAATGAGGTTTCACAAGGACTCCTACTGTTTTTATTTGGAACAAACTATAAAGGATTGTTTGGGAGGCTCCAGGACATCCAGCACAGTTAATTACACTCTTTTATTCTATCAGTACATTCTTTCATTTGGCATATCCAACTGCCCGGGTGCAAACCAGCCTCTGTTCTTTCAGTTCACACACCAAACTGACCAGGTATCCGTCAGCACTAGTCCACAGACCAGTTAGCCATTGAGGTACATTGCATGGCTTCATGGTGCCCCATGGAGTTTTGAAAACAGAACATTAAAAAGCTGAAAGCAAATCCCACAAAACTAGCTAGATATTTGCTAGGCACCCAAGCATTGCTGGGCCATCCATCAGTGCCTCATCAAACTCCTATGGCACCTCGCTATTCACAGACGCAGTCAGTAGGACTCACCCCCCTGGTTTTGTCCAGTGACAATCAGTGGAGAACTATCAACACAGTGAAGAAAATTTGGGGAGAGTAAGGGAGATTCAATTGATCACATGAAGGCATCTCGTTTAAGCAGAGATCAATTTTGCCTAAAAGGCCATTAATTATGTTGATTAGCTCTCTGTTAAATATAAGAGGAATCTCATGTGCCTTGCCAGGATTATGCTTTTTCTTCAAAGACCTCTAAAAACATCTTCCTTGTATACATGCAAAACGGCTGTGGAAATTTTGTGGTTCTTCTGCTACTGGTGATTCTTTATACTGGGGCACAGCATCGCTAAGCTGAACATGACAGGGCTGAGGCTGTGCTGTGATTCTTGCCCTGACTCACTTGGGATGCGTCTTCATCCCCCAGAGCTCTGCCACAACCACTGCGTGAGATGGGCCTAATCACGTCAGGCACCTTTACTGCTGCTAGGACTCAAGCAAGTATCTCAGGGGTGCTCTGCTGACTGAAATCACTCAACACCTCAGTCTGAGGTAAGGAAGGATCTCCCAGTATAAGGCGTCTAGACCCCACCATAGACAGGTGCAGGTTTCTAACATCATGAGCCCTCCTCAACTTCCTGAGTTCAAAAAGATATTAATGCATTGAAACCTAAGCTTATGTGATGCAGAGCTCATTCTATAGAGTAACAGTAGAGTTTTAATATATATAATGTATATAATTAAAGAAAGCAGCTTTTCTAGGGTAATAATAGTGTGATAGGAACCAGACATGGTATATACTTGAAAATGAGATAGACCAGTACATGGAAAAGCATTTTGAAATAAGAAATTATGAAGGTCAATGGAAGGACCAAAACAGCCTTACAAAGGCAAGGTAAGTCTAGATAAGGTCAAAACATGCACTAAGAGTTGCACTGGCTCAGCCTGTACCCTTGAGCTGATACCCTTGAGAGAAATCAAAGGTGTGCCTGAATGGCATTTTGCTGTTCAGAGTGACTCAGGGAACGTGGACAGGGCTGTGCTGAGACTGAACTAATATGGCTACACAGGTATACACACACATGCACGCCAACCCAGACAAGCTCACTAGCTCAAGCTCTGACCCGTGCTCATGGCTCACAGTGCAAGCAGCACAAATTTCTGTCAGCGTGCCTCAAAAGCACAGTGTGATGAACCACTTCTCTGAGGAAACAGCTGTGGGGGCAGATTGCACCTGAACAGACACAAAGGCACGAAACTCCACTTTTTTCATGTAGGTCAATTTACATCTGAGTGAAAGGGATGTAAAACCTTCTGTGTAGATGTATTTTTGCACTTGTATGAGATGTTTCAGGTCAGTAGAGAATCCAGCCCAAAGAAAAGCCCATGTAGAGCAACTATTGCTTGCATTTATCGTATGTAAAAACAGAGGAGAAACCTGACCCAAATCAAATAAGGCAACTGTCAAGAAAATTCACAGGATATTTCAATCCGATTTCCTTGTTCCAACTACGAGCCAGTGGTCTCTTCTGCTGCAGTTACCCTTGCTAGCTGCTCACTTGCCTTTATTCTTTGGGGAAAAGGCTTTCTTATTGACCAGTTACGCTATGCAAAGAGATGGATTCTGGGTGGTCTTGTATGCAGATAGGCCAACTACGCTTTTATTTTGCCAGCACAGATACATATTAGATACATATTTTCCCCACTTACCAAAGAATTCTTACCTTGCCTGAAGATATTTTATTCTGGAAAGCATATCAAGATGCCCTGCTGAGTATTGCTCTATCACATCCTTTACATCATAAGGCCTCAAAGTCTCCTTGAATTTTTTTTTATAGAGACGAAACTGCAGTATTCTGTATAATAAACAGAAAAATTATTAGCTTCCTATATAAATTCCATAATGATAATTTGCACTTTTATTGAATAATAGCTAAACACTATGGATGTTTGAAAACTAAGCATCTTATTTCAAAACAAAGCAATAAAACATAAGTAGAGAATCTCTAACATCATACCATATTTGTAAATGTATAGTAGTTGGCTTTTCATAATTAATAGGGTAAAATTAATTATAGGGACAAAATGCTTTTTTCAGCATTATCATCATAACAACAAATGGTCCAAAGCCACAGAATTATATATGGAATTTGATTTTGAACAAGACAAGTCCCAAGATACTTTAAAGCTGTGAAGCTGAACCTGTTTTTTTTTTTAATACTTCATAAAGTTAATTTTTAGTATATATAATACTGAAACATTTTCAGCTTTGTTTTCATTTTGTAACTGGGAAAGTTTTGGATAGGAAATGTTAATTCGATAGAAATGTGGAAGTTAAGAACCTAGCAAAAGTTCAAATTGTGTAGAAAAGAAAAAGTGTCAGAAGTGTCTGAAGTGTACTTGAAAAAACAGAGTACAACATTATTGTTATACATAACAACAACAATAATAATAACATAATTGCTGTTACTATTACTATTATTATAAAATGTCATAGTAATTAATAACAGAATTCCTATAATATGGACCAGTGTTGGCCAGAGCACATCTTTTTCATTCTTTTCTGTTTATACTGTTATATCCTGGTAGATTAAACAAATAGACAAGAAACATATGTAAAGAATGAAAAACATTTTATTTGTTTAATCTGCCTTAGGCTTGGGATCTGACGGTTTTGCTTTCTCAGTAGATTCCCCATGTTATTATTGGTCTGAATTAGGGGACTGCTGTCATCTGTTAAGATTTTGACCTGTGTTTTAGTCAAGGTTGGGGTTTTTTTCAACCTTTTTAAAATCTGTATAAACTTTCATTTAGCAAAAGTAATTCTATTACAAGCTTTTAAGGGTTTTTGACTCTTTAACTATGTTGCTTATAAATCTTCCAAGATTTCAAAGTTACACCTATGCCTATTTCAGCCAAACTATATATGACAATAGCAAAACTGTACTTACGTAAAGATAAATGAAAAATAAGAATCACGGTGTTAGCAAGTTCAATTTAAAATCTCCTTGATCATTGCCCTGAAAACCTATTAAGTGATTTTGTCTGAAAGAATTGCTTCCCATTAGCATTCAGGGTCTGGGTACAAGAAAAAATAAAAAAGCTTGGCTCATGATTGAGTTTAAAGGGAAATTGCTTAAAATCAATTAGATTTGGACAGGATGTGGGAAAGGAAGATTTGCAAAAGTAATAATAGCGTCTTGTGGAGATGGGGCTGGAAAACAGGGCAGATGTATAGTCTCTGTTTGAAAGCAAGTAGGTATCAGGGAAAGACAGAAAAAACTGTGAAGGAAGTAGGGATGAACATGAACAAAGCCTGTGAGCAATGACTTTCAGCAGGCTTGAGAAAACTTGGAATCTTTAATGACTTGTTCTCCTGCACCCCACTGAAAAAGAACCAGGAGAACATATATTATGGTGATATACATATAAGTATATGGTTATATACTTCTAACAATCTTCCTTGAAGCTTTTCTAAGAAGATAGTTCTGGGGCACTCCAGACTTGCTGTATGCCACCTGGAAGGTAGTAACTCCCCGGCCCAAAACTTAACAACTTCTGTAATAAAAAACAATTGCAATGAAAGAAGAGTATTTTCCTATGGGGGCATTCTTCAAGAGAAGAGAGTAAAAAATACTGAGTGGCAGAGTAACAGAACATCAATAAATGAATTCTATGTGCTTGATGTGCTAAACACATTATCAAGCTTTACTAGGAGTTTTCTAACCTTAGGGAATATCTCTTGTGATATGAAAATAGAGGTGACACATGTCACAAGCTGAAGACTGCTGAAATGGAGACCTCAGAATCTATTAAAAGATGACAACTCAAAAGTATATTGCATAGTCAAACAATTGTGAATAGAGTTGAGTCAGCTCAGAGTTTATTGTTAAGTGAAAATTCCAGTCTTACGTAAATACTATAGTCACTAAATTGAGCAAGATACTATATTTATAGCAAATTTTAATGAGGAACTGTATACAATATTAATTTATAATAAATATATTTATGGAGTATCTTGCAAAAATGGCAGGGTCAATGTTACTGAAAACCATTTTCCTTTCTGCATATTTTCAATGAGGACTTTAAATAGAGTCTGTCTTGTGCTTTTCAACATATCTAGAATTGTCTAACCTATTTCATTTAAAAAAAACAATAGCAGCAACAATGAATCGACATGTAGCAACATGGTAATGTAATTTTCTGAAGCACAAGCATTCAAAGTCAAAACAAAGGACCAAGGAGCATCAGAGACATTTACCTGACAGCTCGGATGGCTGTCTTGAATGTGGGGATCATATCTTCCATAATGAAGTCGCTACTGTCGCCTCTCTCTTCTGCCATGGGTTCTCCTGTCCCTGCATCTGCAAAGCAGGTCAAACAAAAGCTGTGTGAACATCTGACCACACAATATTTAGAGGGAGGTCTGGTTGACTACATAAAGTAAGTGTAATTTAGTAAAGGAACATCTCTTGCAAGTTCCTCTCTCTCTGGTCAGCTCTTGAAAAGGATTTCATCATTCTGTTGGGACAGCTGTAGGACACAAAATTTGAGGGATCTCCTCTCAGATTCCAGCATTTACGAAACAGTGGGAAGTTTTTTTCCTTTCCAGTGGATTTACAAGTTCTCACTTTTATGAGCTTTTACAATGAAAAATCTTTACCAAAATTATTTTATGTAAGTCTAAAAGAGGTGTAGAAACTACAGGCCAAGTTCTCCTCTCGCTCGCACTGTTTGGACCTCATGTACTGTCATGGTAGAAAATAATCAAGTTCCAGGTGGGGACACCCAGGCTACATCCATGGTAGTATGCCCAGCATGCACTGATGCCAGCTGGCACAATAAAGGAGAAACTGTTGTTTAGAGACCATTTAGATTCTATAGGCAAGAAGAGGAAAATGTGTGCTCAGGGAAGCTGAGAGGAAAAATGCCTTATGATGTTGCATGGACACCCAATGGAAATCTGCCGAGGGGCAGCAGTCTTGGGGGGGGGGGGGGG